TCAAGAGACCAAGATCATCATTTTCTAATGTTTATCGTGCAAACTAAATTATTCGATAAATTAGCATGCTACAATGTTAATATTTCCCAGATAATATATTCTCCTATAGTGACGCTAATAACCTTGTAGTTGATGCGACGTTAAACCTCGTCTGGACTGCGAACTCACGTGCAAAGAGCGCGTCAAAAGAGTGATAGAAAATACGTATAAAAATGGGGAAAAAAAGACAGATATATCGCTTGACAAAGAGGAAGGCAGTGCTCCGTGTAGACAATAAATCACCAATGTACGAAACGATGATTAAACCCATACACAGACTTATGGAATAGTCCCATTGGTAACAGCAGCAAAGAACCGTGTGGGTAAATTTCAATCGTACACCTCGACCTCAAGATACCCATAGTCAAAGAGGAAATATGGGAAAATATAGCGACAGATATAGCAAAAGAGTCAACAAACACCGAAACCCCCTAATCACTGGGCTACTTGATACGACGGACCAGATTCGCAGGCTGAAGAGGCACTATCCGCTAGACCTAAACGCTAGATTCAATTAGTTATCTAAATTAAGTAATATTCACTTATTTATAACACTTACTTATATATTATACTTATTTATAATAAGTATTAACGCCAGAAAAATTACTGAAAATTCTCAACGCGAGAATTGATTGTAATTTTAATAAATAAATAAAAAATAAAATTCCAATCGCTGCAATCAATTCTACTGACAACAGTTTGTTAACGGTTCGTGATACATCAGAGACGAAGATCTACGGAAATATCCAGAAATACCAACTATTCAAGAGGAAAACGACGAAACATAAGAAAAGCGCGTTGCACAACATCCTAATCAACTAGTCCTGCGGACGCACAAAGATCGGATTAAACGAGGCTTAAAAAGGAAACACCCTGCTGATCTTCTATAGAATTCTCACGGGATATTGTAAGACGACGTCCTACAGGGGATAATCATCCACATAATAATTTATAGCTAGAAGAATTTACCGAATGTCTGGCAAGACAAATTGCAGGGAGAAATAGCTAAAATAAAATGAAAAACGTGAAAGTCCAATTGAAAAGGAAGCATCGCGAGAAACGAAACTACAACAGTCGGGACACGGAATAAAAGTTTATCTGAAACGATATTTTGCAGTAGAGGCGGAAGATAATATAAAAGCTCTTTCAAAAGCAGTCGTTCGAATAAAAAAAAAAATAAAATGTACACGTCCGATCTCCTGCGCGCTATTATATTATCTTCCCTGAATAAACGAAGGAATGTAAAAAGGAATAAAAGGCAATGACAGAATGAAAAGAGCGGATCCACGCGCGAAACTTCTACGCTGCAGTTGCGCACGAAAAAATCCAGTTTTCCACGTCACACAGAATTCGAGTAGTCGAATGGAGCGTATAAAGGGTATCCGGCGTGACGCGACTCGGTATTTTTCAGCCATTTGCGGCCATGCAACGAAGAATATTTCGAACCATACTTTAACGGTGGACTGTAATTCTCTCTCCCCCTGAAATGCAAGTAATTCTGAAATATATCGACGGGTGAAATATTATTTTCACCATTGTGAACCTGACATTAAGCAAAGAAAAATACCTGTAACACGTTTTTTTGAATTTTTCGTAAAATCCTGTACCCTCTCACGGAAAAACGACGCATGGTCCTATATTTACGTTCCCTAAACAGCCCTCGGTTTCGCTATGAAAATCGAGTATTTTTGGAATATTTTATCGTCGTTCGCGGTACACTCCAGTTCGATACATTCTTTTAGTATCGGGGAAAAGGGCTTAAGAAACATCGAGTTAACCATGGACAATGCCGCGAGAGCCGAGGCGCTGTCGGGTCTACCAATGTATCCTCGGTCTTTTTCCAAGTGCACAGTTTCGTAGAAAAGACCTACCTGACCCTGGCTACGGAACACGTGTGCGGTGGGCCTAGCAAAAGACAAAAGAGATGCTACAACGGCCAGAGAGTTAGTTGAGAAGCGGAGTAGTCGGTCCTGTTGTTATTGAGTATCGCTTATTAAACTAAACTTAACTCTGAATATAACATCGTTACTTGTCCTTACTCTAAGAATCCATAAGTTACTACATTCTTCTATTACATGGCAGAAAAATACGAGTCTCGTTACGCGAGACACCCTATACACAAGTATATCGAAATAGTCCCGAGAAATATGATCGCGTCACTTGCAGTTCGAATATTTGAATGGGATACGCAGGTCTAGTCGCGAAAAAATTCAACAAAAAATTGCTAGCATTTGTAGAAAATATACCGTACAGGGTGTCGAAAATATTTTCTATTAGTAGACTATTTTTGTATACTTGTTCTTCGGTGAATGCTAGATGTGCGTCGCGAATTCTCAACATTAATTTCTAATGCATGTTTTTCTCTTTTAAGTTCCATTCGAGTAGAAATTCAATGGCGTAATATCTAACGATCTTGGGTCAGGTTAGTACCAAGGATAATGCTCGTTTAATCATTAAAATTACCCTGTTGAATCATACTAGCATACGTTCGTAAGTTTAGTTCTTTTCTTAGCTTAAGTATAATTCTACAGGATATAATAAATTGCCGAATGCGGAAAATTGTCTCCCAAATAGACACATTCTAAAGTACACATTTTAAACTCTTTAAAAAGTAATTATATTTTTTTGATCATAATGATTCGACTCTCAAGAAATTCAAGACTAAATAATCCATCGTGTCATTTCGTATTTTTAAATTACAATTAAATATTCAATAAAGTATTTACAATAAAGTCTTTTTTAATTTCTACTCGTAGAATATGTTAGTTTCGCTTCGCAGAAAATACCCAGGACATACTATATAGCGTGATTCTAATAACCGAGCCAATTAACTTCTATTAAATTAAACTAAATTAAATCAACTAAATGAAATTAAAAATTGAAATGAAGAAAAGGTCGTAGAGAAAAATTTTGCGTTGTTTTACGAGCTTCATCGCCATGAGACACAATTTTGTCACAACAACAAGTTACTCTGCTTCTTTCTATCTTTCCAATGAAATTCTTCTACTCTTTCTGCGTAAATGCATTTCTCCTATTACGCTACGAATTTCATTCCTTCGGGAACTTCTAATAAGTATTCAAACCTTTTACTCGCGTTCCAAGTACTCTTAAGAAAATTGATGATATTTTCCATTATAATGTCTAAGTTTTCAACGCTCGTGTTTAACACGTTAAAATGAAACCATCGCATGAGTATCGTGTTTCCTTGCAGTTCGTTATAACTCTCATGTTATTACATAGTGTTGACGTTATTTCGTATTTGAACATTCGCGTAATTCACTTAGTAACCATATAGTAACAGCTAAACTATATGATGGAAAATAGTAAGAAACGTATGAACGACGCTGAGATACAGTGGTGAAACGATTGAGAATTTGCCATAAATTTTTTAAAACGTGAAATATATGATAAATTTTAAAAACACAATAATACGATTAGTACATACGTAATGCAAATTTCATATAAATAGCTTGCAATTGTATTTATGATACATGCAAATACAGCTTGAAAAATATCGGACGTCATCGCATTGTAATTACACAAATGAATTACGCTAATTACGAAAATCTACGCTACCACTACATCTTACGATTTTTAAGGAATACAAATATTCTTAAAATATTCAAAGAATATTGCCTGAAGAAAGGAACTAGGATCAAATAATTATTCCGAACAGGATAAATTTTGGATAAATTAAATTCCATTAAAATTCATAAATCGTGCATTTTGTTAATAAATTTACAAGGCGCAAAGATGCTAATAAATAATAATTTAAGCTATTCTACAACTGCGTTAATCGAACTAATACTTTTTCCATGAACATCGTGTCAAAACGACTTGTAATTATTTGATACTGGCAAACAGTACATCGACTGACGCATCACTTATTAACGAATCTACTGTCTTATTCATACAGTAACCCTGAAAAGACAGTGATCGATTCGTACGTATCCCCGAACACAGTTACGACAAAATATGTATATCTTACGTCAGCACCACGTGCTTCCACGTAAAAGTCTGCGATACCACAGGATACTCGGCAAATTTCGTAATACCAAACGTTGATTACCGAACCGACAGAACTGCCACATTCTAACGAGATTTATTCGAGAGCTGACCCCCCAGTGAACCTGAGCTGTCGCGTAACTGCAACTTCTGGCACGAACGAAATACGCAAGAAGCAAGTAACAGGCAATAACCGAAGGGAATGGCAATAAGGAGACAGATAAAGACGAAGCGATCGAGTGAGACGGTGGAGAGCAACAGCGTGTGCAAGTGCAAACCGTGGAAAACAATGGTCGAAAGCATGTCACTGGAAGAATGAAAGTGCTCGAGAAGGACATCGAATGCGAAAGAGCGATGAGACGTGACGCAGCGACACATCAGACACATGACGTAGCGATTCATGGACTCACCATCGAGATGTTGATAACGTTGCTCTTCCGTGTGCGTAGCTCGGTGTCGCTGGCCACTGGGTTAACTACACACGCGTCTGCAGTCGAAGCTTCACTGTCGGCGTGGGTGCTATACAGCGTGCACGCCGGTTGTAAACCAGCCGCCTGGCGAATCGATACTGCGCGAATCAAAGCATACAGCAGTTCCACGAGGGGACCGTATAATATGACGTACGATGCACGATGCACGGGACTACGAGAGGACTACGACTGACAGAGAACAATGTGCAAGATGTCGATCCGGCAAGTCTACCAAATGGTTTTTGGCCTGTGCACACTGTTACTGTTACGCACACGAGATGCCGTTACGCGTAATCGGAACGAGTCGTACGACTTGGCAGCAATTAGCAAGTTAGCACTTGCCGGCCAATCGTAGCAGTGCAGACGTACGAGAGAAAAAGATCGATTACCACGACGAAGACGATGTCATAACTTCTCAACCGTCTGATTTCGGTTTGTCCATGAAACGAATGGGTCATGGCTTACGGGGCTCACGAAGCCGATTTTCTTTGTATTCTATCTACGTGTTGTACGCTTCGATGACCACGCGACCGCTGCCGAACCTCGCCGACTTTTGCCGAACGAGCAACTGAATTTTGGTGCTTCGTACAGGCTTTTCCAATTTTCCGATTAATGAAATATTTACAGCTGTCATTGCTCGCTCACGTATTCTAGGTTCTAGGAATATCGTATATGTCTTTTGGAAACTAGAGATGCCAGTTCTGTTCCAGTTTCTCTTATTTTACAGTGACAAATATCAAGGTATGAAACTCGGTCGATGGTACGAATTTTAAAGGTAAATTCACGTCATTGAAATACTTGGATTTATTACTGGAAGAAGTAATTGTTACGTTACGATATTAACGAGGGCGAGAAATTATATATTTCTATGCAATTCTGTAGTTTCTCTCGTAGAAAGAACCACGTCTAAAAAATATTCATTTTGATCTGTTTCAAGCAGACTTCGTGCTCAGTCGGACAAATAAAGAATATGAACTTATGTTGGAACATAGTGCCATCTACCAGAGTCAATAACAGCTGCGAGTTTTTGAAAAACTGCCGCTTTGGAATTCGCAATACGTGATCAAAATTGCACATACAACAATTATTTAGAAATGTTTAATATATATTAGAAGGAACATTCTATAATTCAAAGATATGTAGTTAACAAAAAGTTTACAGGGAATTCTGGTATTAGTATATTAGTAACAAATGTAATATTGCTATTGAATCTCATTGATGTGGAATTAACATAATATATATTTTGTAGAATGTTAAAGCGACGAGCATGGATGAAAAATCGATGCATCGAAGTGCTTTTACTGCCAAATATTGCCAGTCAAATATTGACCGATTGAAGCAGAATAGACATGAACACAATACTTCAATGTTTAATATAGAAGCGAAAAACTAATTTTATCCTTTGAGGAAATATTTACTATACGTCATATTTTCATTATATGTATACATATATATTATACTGGGTACAATATTCACGACGTATATAAACTATATATATATATATATATATCACATATATATATTCATATAATATTTGAATTAGGAATTACATCAACAAATTTACGTTTACATTGTTGTTCGGAAAAATTATTACAATCTAGATAAGACTCGTAACCACTACGAGATGTTTTCCTGGAAACAAGCTACGTTTCATTTGAAACGCTTTATCGAACGATGTATACTCCAAGCGATATCTGCGCGGATCGATTAAAACGAGACACCCTGTACATATACGTAAATGTATCTATTAAATTACTTAACACATTGTGATATTGCACAACATTTTGGTACAGCTGTAATAAACGACTAATCAAATATTCAATATGCATCTTGTTGCACGCGATAGAATTCTAACGCAATCTGTATCTATATTTCTAGCTGACAAGAGGAAATCATTTCTGCAATCGAGGTCGATGAGTTTAACACTTATAAACTTAGACCTCTATACCTACTGTTGGAAAATGTCATTTACTTTTCCCCGATTAGAGAAGAAGCATTATTACAGATTCTATATGGAGAGCAGCCAAAAACAGGGACCCATAAATATCCAGAGAATCTGTCAGTTAATCTTAAACTATATTCGAATAAGCGAAATATTATATCGAAAGTCTGATTGTTCGTTCTATTATCCTGGAAATCCCATTACCCGAGTATTTTTGTCGAATTAGGGAAGCTCTCGCCGTAGCGATTCTTATTACCGTATTACTCGACTAAAACTATTTAATACGTGTATTTATTTATCCATAAGGAATACGTCTTCTCTACAAAGAAGTCGCGGGCGAGCGACTGACGCGTTTTTGGCACGTTGCGGATTTCAATTTTCAGAGATAATAGAAGATCGTCGAAACGGGATCCATGGTAAACGAAAGGATAGGAACCACCGTTCTGTCGTATTGGAATTTGGCTATTTCTAAAGATCGTATCCTAGAATATCGTCGATACGATTCCAATGTTCTCCAATAATGAGAAACGCGTCGAATAAATTATTCGTTTAACGGATCGAAACTTTCTTTAAACTTTTCTTGCGCCGCCTTTTGGAAGATTTGGCGCATTACTAATAAACGTCACGTACCGTGTGTAACTGTATAAATTACAGGTTGGACAATGCGGAACAGAAGGGGTCATGACGTTAACGAACGATTACGTAAGCGACGCTTTCGTCAGAATTTTCCACCTTTGAACGAGTGCGTGTGACAGCTTATAAATTTTATATCATTTTTTTAAGGAGGACGGTACAAGCACACAAGAGATACTGTTATCGCTAAATTATTGCAAATACCAATTTCGTTATGAGGTGGGTGCTATGTCATGTAAATTCTGGTCTCGAGTTCGTTTTTCCATTATCCAGACTTTTAGCATAATTTAATATTACGTTAATGTGTATCGTTCGAAGAATACTCCACTGTTACTTTTCTGAGACGTAATACTTCTTGGAACGCGCATCTTGAATCACTTCGCTTAACAAATCCTTTGTCAATTTCTAATCATAACAGTCGACCGAGGTTTCTCGTTAAAAGCTTGCACGATATTAGAATAGTAAATGCCTCGCGAGTTTCGTGAATAGACCATTTCAGATTAGGAATACTATTTCGGAACTAAAGATTACGAATATTAAAAAATCGTTATTGATAAGCGTAGTTTGTCGCTTTAACGAGGAGGAATCAAAGATATAGCAAGGATAGAAGCAGCAGACTACCTGACCTTAAATATATCGCTATCGCTGAGAAGAATTATTGCACAGGAAAGATTAGCTGGCAAAGAACGGCGATAGCACATGGACTGAAATATAAAATAGAAGAGAACCTGCCGTGTCAACAATGCAACACCGGGGAAATAGAAAATAGAAAACACATATATCAAGCGACTGCACGATGTACGCAGAAGGCCACTGAGACTATATACAGACACGCATCGAGGAATAAAGAATGGCCAGAGATAGCAAGAACAGCAACCGAAAGACAAATATGACAAGTGCAAGACCTTGTGAAGCGAGACGCCAAGTTGAGGGCTTCCTGCATGAACAGCGGACAGATCAGAGAAGAACTAGCAGGAACGAAATAGATTTAGATCGCCTAGATCAGCGGTAAATCAGCAGAATTAACAGCGATCCGGCAACAGGCGTTCAAGATTGCTTGCAACGTACCAAACAAAATCTGCGTCATTCTCGTCGGTAGCAAACTGAATTACCAAACGGAAAATTAAAATCAACCGGACAAACTCAAACTGTATGAGTTTCTCCTTAAGGCATGTAACTTGAGAAGACAATGACCAGCTGATCTCGAACGAGCTATAGAAGGAGGAGGCTCGATGGAGGAGGACTTGTAACGACGTATAATAGATCTGAGGCACTAAACCACTAAATCAGCCTACGGAATCCTCACCACTTCGACCCTGATTGATGCAAAGGGAAGAAAAGAAACCGATGGCAAGGATGTTATCACATCCATCAACAACGTGTACCAGTTCTGACGACATCGTGCTTGATGTATTGGAAATAAATCGCTGTGTAATTAAATTTTCCTCGAACGTGTCCTTTTACAATCTCCGTACGATACGATACAGTATTTTGTTTCAATGGCACAGCACGATGGCTTTCTCAAGATATTAATCAGATCATTAAAATATTAAGTGAAAATTCGAGAGCTTCAACGGAGACAGGGGAATTTCTTTCGAGACACGTGTCAACAGTTCGATTCGTCTGGGCTTTCGTTTCGTCGAATTTGGCATGTGGCCAGCATGCAGGAACTCGAATGGCATCAACTGTATTAGGTTCAATAACTTGCACGTGGCATTTATGTTCACGATGATGCAGTCAGCTTTAATTAAAATAAGTAACGTGCTGCGCGTAACATTATAGCGTAGAGAAGGCCGGTCGCGCCGCGTGAATCGACAATGAATTATTGTCACTTTTCTTTGGCTAGCAATCACTGATCCATTGACACATAAAGAGCATCGCAGTATCGCCGATTTTCATCAGTCCCGGCAGAGAATTTTGTATGCGTCGTTCGTGTTGCTTCAAATAATTCGGCACAAGTTAATGCACCCGGAATTAACCACCACCTGTCGTACGAATTATTATTTGCGGACGATCCTGCTCGTGCATTCCTTCCCAATTTGTATGGACGATTAAGAGAAGAGCAACGTGCTTCGCTTTCTGTCAATAATACAAGAAATATCTGGTCTATGCTTGCGTTATAACGCGAACGGTATATTTTCAATAGCTTTTATTTGTTAGTCCTTCGTTCTTAAATCGTTTCAACGAATATTACATTGCATCGTTTAAATATCGAGTTTGAATATGCAAATGAACAATGTTGCACATTCTCGCGCCGAGAATTATCATATATCTCGAGTGAAACGGTAAATATTAAGAGAAATCATTGTTACGATCAGTTAGTTATCTAATTATTACTCATTCCAATTATAGTCGGGTTTTCATATCGTGAGACACAGTTAGAATACGTACGCTAGAGTTTTATCCTTTAATATAACAATCGGCCTGCTACACTAGTAGCAATTACTTGCTAATTAGTTATTTTAAGACAATTGAAATATAACCGAGTTCATCGTTTAAACTAGATTACTGACACGTATGTGTATCGTTCATGAGGCTCTGAATCCTCCAATTAAAAAAGAAATTGGACTGTTGAACGCTTGCAATTGTTTTAATGCAAAGGAGATTGAAATTAATTTTTTATAATCGAATTAGCGAAATAGGCAGTAACAGATTCGAATAATTGTCGTATTTGCATATTAAATAATTCATTGAAACAATCTAATTACTTCAATTTTCCTTTTATCAACAAGCGAACATTTTCGCTGCACCGGACACGTATCTTGCTATTGCTGTCACATAAAAAATTATTATTGTATTTCCTACTTACTGAAAAAGTATTTTATTGTTTTCTTCCTTTGTGTATAATTTACAACGTGTTGTCATAAAATTCCGGGAATATTAACATGCCACGTATATGTTTGTATGCATACAATTTTCCGCAAGTTTATAAACATTTTAATATTTAGATATTTGTGACACTGCGCCGAGTATCTTATGAAAGTTTACAGCCGAATTAAATATTTACCATAGCTTGCATTGCGTTCTTGCCGCTGCTGTATTGCCAACTTGTTTATTTTGTATCGACCGTATAAAATATTTGTTTCTTCGTAGTCGCATTATGAATCGTTCATTTCAAATATTCTATTAAATAAACGTATCAGCATAGAGGAAAGCGTTACGTGCATTTTATTCAATTTTGTACTTTTAAATCTCCCATAAATTATAAATACATAAAACTCTGCAGTCTGATCATACGAAATGTGTACGATATATTTAGTTTAGCACATTGCAGATCGCTGATCCAGCATTGATATCATACGAACGTGCATCCGTACAAATCTGATCGTAAATACATCGACAGTCGTAAGTACTTTGGCGCACGAGTGTTAGTAAAGTATGTGAATTAATGGGAAATTAACGATCAAAGGCAATGCTATCTTCTCGAAATTAGCATGATACGAAACTTAAATTGTCCATTTAAGAGCTTGTTAGTCTTGAAATTAAGTACAAGACTCGTCCTGGTGTAATAAACGTAATTCCTGGAATTGAGAGAAAAATATCAGGTTGGAAGAACCTTCTCTATGTTATCTGCAGCGTGACGACCAAATGAATCGAGGTAAATAAATTCCTCAAGTATCGAAATTTCTTCGCAATGCACGACGCTTACAAATGTTAATCCTTTCATCGCGTATCACGATTAAAGAGTAAGCGTCACCGTGTCCTGATAACAATCGTCACATTCAGTTAGTTTTAATCCTAATGCGATCCTCCGATTGTCACATTTCTATCTCACTCTTCATTCAGCGAGTAAATCACTTTTCGTGTTTTTTGAAGTATAAAACAATCCTGAATCGTTCTGTCCGTAATTTTCTAACTAAATTACATCCTGTCAGAAATAAACACGTGTCTACGTACATTCGAGCCACGGTATACAAGACGTACAGTATTATCCAGACACTTATACGGCCAAAAGTAGCAGTTAAAATGCAGCTGAATGGGCGAGAGTTTTTATTTGTATTCAACGTATGAATGAATTCAAGTTTAAGGACACTGGAATGATTTTCTTCAACCGCCAGCTGCTTCTTTTTCTTTCTCAATGAAACGTTCGTTCCGCTCTTAATGATCACGCGTATAATGTGATCAATATTTTATACGAGCGATATGCTCGCGTATAAACTCGAATTTTAAGTGCAAATTTTGTTACACGTGTTTCACCATACACGCAGAATGAACAGTCATATGGTAGAAATAAATATCTCGACGGTTCTTCTCTTCCTCAAACGAGATCAGGATGTAAGAAAATTTTGTAATAAATCGGAAAATCTTCTTGAAAATTGCTGGTAATAACCTGGCGGTGTGTAAATATTGTTACCACATCACACGGTATATATGTAGAGGAGGCGTTGATTAAAAAAAGAAAGTAATTGTAATCTTTAAATTTAGGCTGGCGAAAATGAAGAATGAAAGACGTAATTCATGGAGAGCACGCGTAGAATGTGTCGTAACGATTACTAAAGAATGCAACACACAGAGGACCCCGACCCACTCTCTATTGCGATTCACACGTGTATATTAAGTATAACGAACACTTCACAAATGTATCATTTACGATCGGCTTCGTTAAAGAAATAATAAGTGGCAAACTACGCGAACGATCGGAGAAAGTAGCATTAAAATGAAAAAAAAACCAATCGTTTAAAAAGTGGACAATTTTGTACGAATAACCCGTAATTCGTATCTGTTTCACAAAATTGGCAAATATATAGCGTTAAATAAGAAATGAAAGAGTAAAATACGCGAAGCATTGAAATTCAGTACCTGTCGAAATGTTCCTGTCTGCACGAATATATACAGGGTGTCCCACGTAACTAGAGTAACCTGTAGCTCTGAAACAATATAGCGGAACCTTCTATACGAACATCAACATTATTCCAACGTCGTATCGAATATGAACATTTTCTACATATTGAAATACTATATGAAAATATACAAGGTGTCTACACACTTGGCTTCCACGAGATTTCTGTTAACCACAGTAACGAACGAGGACGTAATTGATAAAAAATTAAGTCCAAGAGACGGCGATAATATGCTGGCAAATGCCACGTTGAACGCGAAAAACGAAGAACCCCGACAGGGCATGGGATAAATTTTTGCCGTATGAAATAACAGAAGAAAATCAAGAACTAGACTGCAGTGGAAACGACGAACAGGCCAAGTCGTAGCAATGCTACGTAGAATACCAGGATGCGACGATACGCGATACTGTGGCTTTTACCATGACCATGATGGTGGATGCGACTCTAATAAGATAAAGAGTAACAATTTTTTGAACGTATTTGAACATTTTGATGAACGTATGTGGAGGAAGGTGAGCAGGTATATGGCGTGCAGTTAGATATGAAAAAGTATTTACGTAAAACGTAAAAAACGTATGAAAAGAGGAGTGAGCAGAAAGCAAACAAACAATTATCACGCAAGGTCTAAAATGCTGAATGAAACCGCGCAGGTCGCGATATAACGACACGGAGTGGTCAATTTTTAAATAACGATTAGATTACAAAAACAGCAAATTGTCGAAATAAAATACGAAAAATAAAATGATCATTATTTAATGAAATAAGGAAATGCATAATATTCGTGCAAGAAGAAAATCTAGATCTGAATATGTATTGTGGTGGAAATCGAAATGAAAATACCGTGGTTAAAATTCGAAAAGAACTTCTTCACGGTACATCGAAATACCGTAAGTTGGCTGCTCGTGACTTTCGTGTCTATTCGTTTTTGATAAAGAAAGTTTTACGTTTACTTTTAATATGACGTTCTTTGAAGTATGAAATGTTAACGATGTAACGACGTAACGATATAACGATAAATAATTGAAAACGATAATTAAATTGGAAAATTTCACGTTCAACTTCATAACAGTACGGGACAAAGTACGTAATAAAACGTGCGGCTATGTAAGTGATAAATTGAAATTTATAAATCAGATAATATTGAACAATTCCTATTGCATATTGTGTAACTTTGATGTAAATTTCTTTCATCATGATAAGCCTTTACCATCATGATAAGCATTTAAAAAGAGGAAAGATACGACAGTACAATAACATTTTTAGAATTGGACGTATTTGGGCGTATATTGTTCAGTTGTGTAAAATAACATCAAATTTAGAACGCCTCTCGTCTAAACTTAATTTTTGTTGTTTCCACGAATCGTTAAAACATCAGCTTGCTAAAGTATCAGTAGCCATCTGGTAACGCTATGTTGGTGCTCGCTGTTTCGAGCGCGATATACTAATTATACTAAAAGCTTTGCTAATTTCGAGTAAACAGAGCTAAACGTTGTTTGATCAGAGACAAAAGCAAAAGATGGCTAGAAAATCGCTTTTAAATGTCACATAGTTAAACACAGACGCGTTGTATTCAAAGGATGAACGGCACAAAAAAGAAGAAAATACCTATCCTATAAATTATACGATTATACCCATCAAATTGATGTAGGATTAGCAAGCTCCTTCGAAGACGGTTCAGAGTGGGAGAGGAAGAACGCAGCATTCACCCCTCTTCTATCGCCCCATTCGTGGTCACAAGTAACTCCGTCGTCTCACGATCACTCATAAAGCTCGCCTTCGGACGTCCAAGCAATACAGAAGTCCGTGAAACATTCGGTGGTGCACTTTTGCAAATTCTCTTTCGTTCGCTTCGCGTTTATCCCGCGAAACAAAGCCTGTTCGCGTGCGATCATCCGAAGTTGGTCCGTGAGCGATTCTTCCGTTTCACCGTTCCTCGTTCCTCTACAGCCTTGAAGATCTATGCCGAACAGGGTCGAGGAAGTCGCGTAGAGTTACAGAGTGATCGTCGACGAGATACCCCAAACGAAATCGGATAATTCGGAGAAATCGACGTCGATTCGAATCCTGGCCGTTTCGTTTTTCTGTAAAAATGAGGACATTCGCCAGAGCATGGACGATTCTTTTAGTGATGAAGCTGTCGTACGCGGGCAAACCGGTGGACGTGTTGACGTCCAGCAGCCTCAACGCCCTGGAAGACGAGGAGATCCTCCGAGTGCTGTCGCGCAACGAGAGCACATCGGCCAATAATTTCACGCTGGTCGGGCTAATTGACAACTGGAGGAACCACACGACCCAGACAGAGGCCACGTGGCGGACGAAAGAGCTGGATGTCCGCACTAATCCCTTCTACAGTGAGTTCTTTTGCCAAGATAATTAGCGGTAAAAAGTCCGCCGTCTCCTGCGAAATTGTACAATTCCATGGTCAAGAGGTGTACATATCGTTATCGCGAGCCGAGGTTCGAATCGACTAAACCGACGCGTATATTTGTTATATTTGTTAATTTTCTCATTTTTGTGTATCACAACTCCAAGACGATAACACGATTTTGTTATGCACGTACGCCGCGGCTACGTACATGTATGACGTAATTGTTAAATTGATAAAAAAACTGTATTGACGTTTTGAATTAAAGTCGTCAATATCGAGTTTTACGTTGGAGTCGCTTGCTTTTCGACCAACTGGCGATTAGTAGCCGTTGATAGGACACGGACAGTTTTAGGCAAACGCGACTCTTCGGATGGAAGCATCCGTCGACCAGGTCGACATCCATTAGAGCACGCGTGATTCGTGTAATTTTGCAATCGTTTAACCACGTCATTCGTGAAAATTTCATGCGACGTAACGATTCGAAGAATCGATCGACATGCTGCTGGGAAAATTTTCGTCTCGTAAGAATAAATATTCGTGCGGCTTGTAAAGACGTTTCCGAATGAATCGTCCGTTCGATACAGCTACTATTTCTAATATAATGTGACACGGAACAACCCAACTATTCGTATTTCGAAGATACGATTAAATTATTCTTATCGCAATTACATGCAATTAAACGAAGAACTTAATAATTTTTATAAGTGGACCACTTGCGATTAAGAAGATGTCAATTCGACGAAGATAATTATTTTCTTCCTGATCGTTGAAGAACAATTTATAGGTCAATTGCCTGGAACACGATATTTTAAGCGTTAAAAATAATTCGATACCGAAAAACCACGCTTGCTCTACAAAAGTTACCGTCGATTATGCTATTCGTGTACCTCTAAAACCCATTCGTTACATCGAAGGTCGATCACGTCAACGATGACGTATTTTTCGATGGTTGGCTATGCAGGGCATAGATATCATTTAGGCCTTCGAAATATGTATAGTCCAAACGTAAATCTGTATATTTCGTAACTATATTAGGATAATTAATACAAATGGGCATATTCTGGAACGGAAATTTTTATTAACTCATTTTAATTTAATCATTTTACGAGGCTACTTTTCCTCCTTTGTGCGTTCATATTATATTCGATGCATTTATAATTTGGTTGTATCCATACTTTTTCTGTATATATTTGTTTCCGCTCCCGCAGTCCCGAAAAAGACATCGCTCACAGTCTTTTTACGATGTCGATTCGCTTAATCCAACGACTCTATAATTTTACCTGTTCCACTTGGGCTTACTCTTCACATTTTTACAATTATGCTTCTTGGATAAGTCTTTATTTCCATAATTCGCAATATAATTCGATGCTATCTTAGATAGGAGTATATTAGGTCAATGTTATAATATGTATTCATATTATTATTGCTATAATTAAAATATCATCGTACATTACTGTTGCAAAGCGATCGAACCATCTATATCAAAGATCCTACAACGACGTTTTTAAAAAAAGTATAAAAAACGCAGTCCACTTGTTCAAATACTGTGGCAAAAAGAGCTGTTATTTTGTTTGATAGCACGAGCGAAATAAACTCGACCGTTGATCGAACAAATGACAGAAAAAAGCAAAACTACTTTCGATATTTCGAAATGCGCGCTACTAAAGTCCGATTTTCATCCGTACACAGTGCCAGTATACCTCTCACGATTTCCCTGCCCATTGTATCGCGTGCACGTCCTTACAATGAACCTGAACACGTAAAAAGTGCATCACGTTTAACCTTGTCTTTTCTTTCGGCCACTTTTTGACCCAAATTCGTTCGCCTGACGTCGACGCATGTGTCTCGAGTTCGAAGAAAAGAGAAAGAAAGAAAGGAAAATCCGCGAATACGCGTGAATTCTTCTTGCTCGCTAAAACGAAGAGATCGAGACACAGAGATCGTCACAGCCTGGATGTCTTGCCGCAGAAATATCTTTGCAAATGAACCGAAGACAATCCTCCTGTTAAACGTAAGATCCACAATGTGAGACTGTCGATCAGCCACGTAATCATAGAGCGTGCTACGCACAGTGAAGAAAGGGAGAAACGTAACGCCGGCGATAGTCTTAAGGATATCGCGTCGGTCCTGGTCCAACGAAGGACTATCGACTGTCGCAAAGGAGCGAAGACGTTGAACGGAGTTCGATAAGCCGTCGAATATAAAACTATTCGCTAATGGCCATAGTAATCGGTACAACTTTAAAGAGAATAAATAATAATAGGAAAAATAGTAACTAGAAATATGAATACAGAAGGTCGCTGGCGCTTCTGTGTTTACAGTGGAAAAATTGCAACTAACAGGAAAATATAGATTACTATCTTATTGGTGAATTACTTTCTATATTTCGCCACATCTAGCATACTAGAATTTCTCGTCTGCTATATACGCTCAATTTCACCACATATTGCACACAGCGTATCTACATGTTACTAGGTTCCGAAAAAGAAGGCAAAAACGAAACTTGTCGTTCGGACGCGTAATCGTTGCCAGCCAAGTCCACGCTTGCCTCGTCACGATGACATAATCGCGAACGTTGTAAAAATTGCATGCTGCACGTTCGATCCAGTTCGAAGTAGTTGAATTCTGATCGTTCTCATTGTACATTTCCGTGGTATCACGGGTGAACAGGACAGTAGGGCACAGTGTCGATTAAACGCGAGATAAAAGCCTAACGTGCGAATTTATTTCGTTTTAAGACATCAAACGCGACGTTCGACAGACGCGTATTTAACCACCAACCTTTCCTACATTTTACTATACTTTTATTAGCTAAACCACTCATTATCCGATCTTGATCAATTTCTCGATTTTCGCTAATATAAAGATTTACGTAAAGTCGGACGAATAAAAAGAAATAACGACGGGCCTGGTAATGTTAGCGTTAAAGATACAACAAAAACAGGTGACTTTCCGAGAATCGGTCCACGTTATCTGACTCGTGTCGCTCCGACGTGCGTGCATCAGGGGAAAGAACGAGAAATAGACAGCGAGACAAAATAGGTGCAATGTAACAAGACGCTGTAGAGTCCAGTCATTCCTTCCTCCTAATCGCACCTTACATATCTCTATAGTTTAGTTGAAAATCGTCGATCGGTCGTGTTTGGTATCGTTCTGATCGCGCGAATTTCAGTAGTTCGACTAAAGCCACCTCGCGACGATATAATAAAAGCATGCAAGAGATTATATTTCTTCTTATTCCGGTAATTCGGTAGCCGGTTGAATGACATCTATGGTGATCATAGATAACACTATGGTTTGGCTCCAGCTAGCTGTTCCATGCTTTCACGAGCCATTGTAATAATTTTAAAACACAAGTACATCTCGGTTAAGCGGTCATTCAACTTTTAAGCTATTGCACCAGTGACCTTGACGTTTTCAATCGTCAGCGCTCGACAGCGGGCAGAAATGATTTGTCAGAAAAGTAAAATACTCTTTTAAGGGTATCAACATTTTTCCACATCGACCAACAATCTTAGAAGGAAGGTTCGCGTAGCTTAGTTAACCCGAGCGATGCATCGACGTGGTTTTAGTTCAGCGCCTCTTTCGCTGCCTCGCTGTCTCGCTGTCTCACAGCGAGTGCATCGCTACGATACTTATTTTCCTCTTACCTTATATCAGCCTCTTTTTAAGAGAGGGGTATTTTGTCGTTTAATCGACGAATCGAATAAACTAAAGTTAAGCAGTCGGCAATATACGTTAGTGAACTTATCATATTTTCGCCGCGTGGTCTTCGTCTGTTTCATTTATTCTTTGTAATCCTCCTTCGGGTTAGATCGCACTTTCGGTTACGTTTCTCTTTGATTTAGAAGTAGACCACGAGTCTACTTCTGCCATTACCAAGCTTCGCGTCTCTCTTACTTAACATTTAGAGTGGACGTCTGAACTTGATCTTAGAATGTACCTCTTAATCTTCATTTGTCGTCATTTATCAGAGAAATTTCATCGTGCGTACCTAAGTTGTATACCCAAATGAATCGATACGAATATTCTTGACCTTCGTTCTTCGTACTTGGACATAAATTTCTTGATCTAAAATAACGAATGAAATATCCACGAGCTGTTCCACTTCCTAGTTCATTCTTAAACCTACAGGCGCGTGTTATTTCGACACGTTACCTTAACAGGTTTAACAGGTCTCCGTCGATATACAGATTCTGACAGCGACGTACTACGAATAGCAAGTTTATATTATTTGCAACCAGTGTTTCGGATAGGCTGTTTAAAAATATTCGTAATCCATAAACTTTTCTTTCCACGCAGAAAGAACTTTACGATGTTACAGAGAAGGAAACCTTACATAAAGGAAATCAAAGCTGTATTAAAATACCACGATACAGTAGATATCTCGATCAATGGTACGTATGGCTAAAGCCACAGGTTTAACGAGCTTTCGAGGCAGCCGAGTCTGGCTACGCTGGAAACACAGTTCCATATATTTGTACAGACGATCTCTTAAGCGATCCGACCACCTTAGCTCGCCGGCGGAGACCGTTTCGTGCAAATGCGTCGAAGCGAAAGCTCTTGGATCGGCTTGAACCAAATTTACAGCATCCGCAGGTAACGACAAGGATGGGAGCAGCGTTCATCCGCCAAAGTGAGACAGCGTAAATTCGACTTTAGCTTGGTTTAGCTGGTTTCGCGAGCCTGGAACATCTTCCAGCGCGGAGGACCGCGATTATCGATATCTCAAGCCACGATCGTTCTTAGTCACGGCGCATTATACAAAATGCACGCTCTTGGTACGATTCGTATGCAAATTTGAAAATTCAATCGGAAAGGCTATTTACACCTATCGATATTGATAAAAAAAAAGAAAAAAGGAAAAGAAAAAGAAGCTTGTTCCTTCGCAACAGACGAATGTAACCAATCTCGCGATTTAGAAATTTATGGCGACCTAACGCGTGTGCTCGTATACCGATACTTTTTACATAGGTTAAAGTCTAACACAGATAAAATGCGTTTAAACGCGTGTACATGTTGCGCACTTGGAGATTCTCGGTCAATAAAGCCTCTAGCGAATACTAAAACCACGACGCGAACGAGCCGCTTCATTTAATCGTTTCGACCAGTGTATTTGTAACACTGTTCAATATTCAAACGCATCAACAAGTGCGATAAATACCGAAGAAACACCGAACAGCCAGCTTCTCTCATTGTGCAACTTCGTCGAGTTTGCCAATACATTGCTCGCTGAGCAATCGGAACTACGTTCGAACGACAAATGTATTAGGTGTGACACGAAAATAATAGCCGCTAACTTTGAGGCGATAGTCGTCAATTCACGACCACTATTTTCATATACACCTAATAAATAGAGAACCAACAGTGCATTATCGTTTACAGAGACAACGATGCTTTCGTTTGCTTTTTAACGCCAACTGTACCAGTTGAGATCACGAGGTGAAAATGCAACTCATATTTTCCGCGTTTCGTCGAGGAATCTACTCCGATACGATGTTCGACATACAAATCTGTCTTTCTCTTTGCTTTTGAAATTAACTTCGCCGCATCCTTCCAGCTACCTTCGACTCGTGCGTTTCATTTAGACACTTAAATATTTTTAACATACCAGTTACGGTTTTTGCAAGATTACGTAATATTCTTAGTCGTCGCGTATTTTTCAAGGCTTACGTATTCTTATTTTCAACCACGTTAGTGCCTAATAAAATATCCAAAAAGTCGACTTATCGTGCTTCTCCCCTGCGTATATGTACATTGAGCATGTAACCCGAAGATCCAATTAACAGATCCAACGATTAACAACAGCACATTTAATCACGTTTACTCGAATTAATCGATTCACCAGTATAAGATAAAATATGAGATAAAACTTCATCTATGATAAGATTAACACGATTTCTTTCGGAATGAGCTTGTAAGCGGTAGCACTAACTATTTGCTTGCACAAACCTAATAAAACGACGCTGATTAAGATCGATCAAAGATAATTGATAGACGCAAGCATATACGCGGTGACCTACAAATAATTTCTTCGCTTTAAAGTTGTATAACATCTTTTTATTATACACGGTGTTACATCAGACTGGTGGCCTTGAAATAGGACTGGGATTACAATTTTTACGAACTTGGACAACATGGGGTGGCGAATGAGAAAACGTTAAAAAATTCCCCCTAAAAATAGGCTTCAGAAATGCACTTTTTTTTTCTGAGGACACAAAAATTTAGAAATACAGAACAAATCAAGTTATGGAATTTTTTAATGGGAAAGCGACTTATGGACCACCCTGTGCCTGTGTCACAGGCAAGATATGGATATCCGGTTCTATTTGCACAGTTCGTCGACCATTGTTGCAACGCCTGGCGTTTGCATTGCGACAAAAAACGGAGGAAATCGAGTTCATCCTCTGCCGCGATTATATCGAGACTTCGAATGAACATTAACAGACTGTTACGAAAACTGCTGTGACTTTCACTCACGATTTATTTGCATGCAACTATGTATGTAAATGTATGTAATAGATTTGCAAAAGAGTGGCCTAATAATTAGCTCACGGGTACAGGTTGATACGTGTCTCAATCGATGCTAGGTTTGCCAAACGTGTTTCGCGGCGTCACGTTGCGGCCACGGTGCAGCTACAAAAACGTAAAAAAAATACGCGGTATGTGAAACCTCTCGAGTTCACAGATAATATGACACGACGAGATATCCGGATAATCGATAAAACTGCCCGTTCTCACCTGTTCTACGATTTTTTTTTTTTTTTTTTACTTTTATTATACACGCGTGGACGACAGCGAAACGAGTTTCTCGCAATTTCGCCGTGTTATCCGTAGAGGCAGCCCGTTCAACCGATCGAGATAACTGAGATTAGGATAATCGAGAACAAGCTCGAAAGAATTAACGCATTCGCGGAGTTATCAGCTTTCGACGAGGATTAATCTTGCGCGTGGCATCTGCAACGAACGTCATTAACTCCCGAGGACCATGGTGTTTGAAATGGCACTTTTGTTCTAATATCGTCGTGCTGTGACTTACTGGGGTGAAATCTCACTCGTCGTGACATATACGCGATTTTCTTCGACGAAAGTTTTTACAGTTAAGGGTTAAATTCGTTCGATAGGCGTAACGCTGACGTTAAATGCTGGAACGATCGTATTGTTCTGTATTCCAACGATCGTACATATGTATGGCGCGCGTTAGGTTCCAACAATTACATACGTGATTTCACATTCATTAGCGCGGCTGCTTTCATTTACATCGCATCAAGATTCAAATCAATGTCGAAATCGCTTCATATCAAGCTCGATTTAATATTCAAGGTGACAAAAAATTTATTAATACCGGGTTGCTAACTTCTTTATTCCCAATTGTGCCTTTTGCATCGCATATGAGGCAGTTTTATAATAAAACGAACGACACGACCAAGAAAGAAATAATCTTGCGAGTGAACGCGAGTCGAAAAGAGGATAAATCTGTTTCCTACTTTAGATTTCAGGTCGCATACACCTTTAGCGACTATTGGCGAGCGCTCTTATCGGTCTCCGGTTTAAGAGAGTAACAAGAAAGTAAGTAAGAGAGTAAACGAACGACGATGACCATCAAGCCCAAGAAACGTACCTTTAATTGGCAGTTTACCATGACAAAGTACTAATTCCTCTTGGCGACCCATCTGTTTACTACGGGGTATTACAATCGGGTTACTACGCGCTCGGAGGTTGCTCGCGACCCTCTCGGAGCTCCTCGATCTTGCGGAGGAAGAGAGCCTCTAGATCCTTCAGCGGATTTCGAGGTCCTAATCCTCCAGGTATCTTTCGACGCGCGAAGATACCTGCGAACTCTGTCCGAAAAAAGACAGAATCTCCGACTTACATCTAGCGACCAGACAACATCTACCAAACATGGGCTATGCGAATGGCGAAGATATAGAGCCCAGAGATCAGCGTCGAAGACTGTAAGTTACCTCGAAGAAATCCAGTCGATGAAATCGGAAGAAATGGACGTCGATGTGACATAAGGTCGAAATAATAGAAAAAAAGGATAAGGAACGAAATCTGGCAATCCCGAAAGGAAACAAAGTAACTGACCATTAGTCAGTGGAATATGCAAGCGACGACAATTGGTCCAAGATACGAGACGTATATCGTCGGAACAGTTTTATGTCCACGAGTCATATCTTCTTCGTCTTTCTTCTTTTTTTTATATGTCCCTGAACGAAACTATTCGAGCTACCATAAACGGTACTTTGACCTCCTCCGAAGTCTTAGAACGTCTTCCGCGATAGCCAAGCACCGTGGGCACTATAGCCATTGATCAAGTTCGTAGAAAAAATCACGTTTGTAGAAACAGTACCCGAACGTGAGCGTCAGCATAACAATGACAGAAGCTCCATCGGCTGGTACTGGCATTTAGTTTCGCGTTGTAATCTCCGTTTGCACGCCGAACACGTACTTACATGCCTGTTACTTCATCGCGATACCAGCTGTATCCTCGAGACCACCGAACGAAGTGAAAGTCTTTCTTGAATCAACCTTGTCTCGATCTTGATTTCGCGTGTCGAAGAATCGTGATAGACCTCTTGATCGAACTTGGACTTGCTCTCTTTCTCGTGTTTTCAAGTTAACCAATTTTTCTTTTTTTTTTTTTTATTAATTTACACAGTGGCTGTGACGATAGTTATCGGCCACCCACGGTCTACTAAATTTTCTAGGATCGTTAGTTAAGATGAGACAAATTTGGACGAGACATTGTCGGCAAAAATAGCGCGAATACAATGCATTATTCTGGAAAAATGAACTATTTGCGCGTTAAATTCAGCACGCATCGTGTAACGTTTCGTTTAAAGTATATATCGAATGATCCAACTAAAAATCAAATCCTTAAAACACGTACTAATCACAGAAATTCACGTTTCTTGTTTAGACGATTTTCCCGAGCAAATTGATCGAGAGGCAAGGAGATTGTTACAAGTTCTTCCAGCTTTCGACCCCAGTGTTGGACGAGTAAGCGGAGAATGCAAAAGGCACGCTGACATTTTTCATCGGGAGCTTGCCAAATTCACTTTGTGGGCTCTCAAAAGTAAGTATAATCGCGCTACACAATTACATTAATACTAATAATAATTTCGCCTATCGGGAATATCCATTTTATCGCGAAGAATCTCTACCCGTGGCAGACTTTCTCGACGAAAGATATCGCGATTATTTTTCAAACTGTACTTTCGCTTGTACTTTACTGCCACACTCTGAATAATTTAAATATCTATTAAACACGAGTAAGCGTATCTTCTTTGCAGCTTTATTACTTCGTTACATCATTCTAGGGGGAACCACATTATTCATGAGACGATTGAATTTCAATAAATCTTCTCGTCAACGTTCCACAATCTCAATTTTAAAAACATTCAAAGACTCTTCTTATCGTCAGCCTCTACATTATGTTTTACAGCATTTTTATTAAAGTTCCCAAATAAGATCATGGGAAAATTTCTCGGTTTTGGAAGAAGCCATTAAAAATTATACATACTATAAGTTTTTGTCCGGAGCTGTAAGGTTCGGCTGATTTTTTAAATATTCCTCGTCGGTCGTAAGGCGACATCGAAATGAAGAGAAGAACAAAAATATGTATTCGTCGTGGTCTGTTCCCTGTGATCGTCATTTCCAATAATTCTCTTATTACTCTTTAAAGTGTACGATGCAACGGCGAAAATACCGTCTGGCCTGTTAAACGGAAATATAAATCAGTTCGGCGACTTCGACGAGTGCGTTGGAATCGAAGGAAGCGACGGAATTCAAGGGCAATATTGCTTGGCGTACCTTCAGCTGACCGTCGACGAGTCTCGCCTAGATCTGAGGCATCTTCATCGGTTGGTGCATTCCCATTATGCTTTCAGAAGCAACGTCACCGATGTAAGTACTTACGTGTACGTGTGGTTGCCGTCTCTTCGAAACCGCAGAAGCAATGTTTCTTCGCGTTGATGTTAACGCTTCGATTGAATATCGTGGTTTTTACACTCAAGGATAGAAACGTTAGAGAAAATCGGTTTAATTATCGTTTAAGAACGACTGATTTATAGTTCCCATTAACATATTTCACGTGGCATCTGCGATCTGCGAAATTCGTTTCTTCGACCGGCGACGAAATTTCTCGCACATTTTATTCCTTTTACGATTCTGTGTCGCGCTTCAAAGGGGATTGTCGTAGCTGGAAATATATTAAATTTGCTTCTTTGTATTATTATTCTATTATTTTCGTTTCGTACGAAAGCATATAATATGCCACTCAACTTTGTCCAAACTGAAGTCTCTTAAATTAAATATTGAAAATATCTGATTATTATCGTCACGGATAGCGTTATCAACAAGGTATCATTGACTTTGAGAATTATATTCAGGAGCTAATAAACGCGAACAAACGCTCGATGAATCTTGCAAATAAATTTCATGTTACAAAACAATCGTACAAGTCGTACAGAATACGTTACATTTTCCATTTCGCTATATTCATTTCTGCCAATTCATTTCATTCGTCTATTCCTCGTAATTCAGGTTGCACGTACAAAGTTGCAGAAGAATCTCCGAAGAAGAGACCTCGAGAAGAGCGACGAGTCCGTAAATTTTTCCGATTATATTTAGACTCGAATCATCAAGAAGAAATCTGGCGTCTGAGAATTTGCACCGTGAAAATACTCGTAGAATGTTAACGCGTTATTACGGACGAATGCATAATCGATTCGGCGTAAATCTGCGTAAATCGAGACGCGACAGGAGATATCTGTCAGAGGATAAGACGAAAGGAATTTATTTGATCCGTAGCTGCGGCGAAAACAGCAATGTATTGTGAATATTAAGCGAGACACCTGCCACTTCGAAGCGTGCAGACAATCGCTAATAGGAAACCGTGTGCCTGCGATTGAAAACTGGGCATAGAAGGAAACAACGAATACGTATCAAAACTAAGATTCTCAAGGAAGCAATTTCTTTTAAGTTTCAAAATGTTGCTTACCTTTTTACGTACACTACGCCACTTTATATACGCACGTACATGTCCCTTGTGTCATTTGCCATCGACGATAGAAACTTTGTAACGACTCCTCTGCCTCTGCCTGCTAATTTATTGTCCCGATTTATTTATTCTTCTTATGAGAAAAAGGCTCCCCTTTTTAACAGCGGTTCTTCCTTAAAACAAACAGAAAAAAACACGGAGAGAATATACAGGGTGTAGCAGAACGTGCGGGACCCGCTTAAGGGGCTGATTGTACACGAAAAAGCAAGGAGAAAGGTTCGTGCGAGCGCATGTTCTGTCTCCGTTCGTGAGATACAATCGAGACAAATGCGATACAAAAATAAAAATACGAGTTTGCATAAACAGTTTGCGACCTACCGATCTCGCGAGTTCCTAATCGCTGAATACTTTACCAATTTAAAACTACGTCGCAATAACATCGAAACAGATAAAGGACAGGAAAAATATTTCCAATTATAACGTGCAACTTTTTTCCAAAGTACGGCATTTGCGGTGGATAGCCTGGCACGCTGTAGCAACGGGGCAAAATTCCTTTTTCCCGGTCCATTAATCGCTTAACCACGATATCTGTGTATTAACAGGATTTCAATTTCCCGTTAGACTTCGTTTCATCGCGTATTTTTGTTTTACAGCGTTCGAACCTTTGCCAATATCGCTACAAACGGATTCCAATTTTTCTCCCGGTCTCTTCCTCTCTTCTTTTTTCGCGCCAACAGCACACGGTCACCCGTTTCGAGTTAACCGTGTCCAACGCAGTTTGACTTCGGTGTTCTTATGGGAACCGGTAGTTCCTGCATGGCTGAGGCCGTTGGCGAATAAAACCAATTATTCGTTTATTTCACCATCCATCCACACATTCGTTTGTCGATATATATGAAACATATCTCCAACTTACAATCTTGTCTTGAACCTTGTTGGAAATATAGTTAGATATATCTTGCTTATGTAAATTAGACGTAAACCCCATGCAAGCTCATCTTTTCTTCCTCTGCATTCGCATCTTCTTCGTTGCTGATCTCAGTCCTCCTGCAGCTAATTTCGTCATTGAATCCTTCGTATCTTCTATCAATTTCATATATTTCATACTTTCACGCAACTTGAATGATCCATCCTTGCAGAGTTTCTCAGGTTTTTCCGTGAAAAACATTTCAATATGATTTTTTATGGAACGTATCTCGGTTGCTGGCAAATGCAAAATTATATTCCGTTCCGAAGAATAATTTTCTCGCGCGATGTTTAATGTTTAAACGACGACATGACGTATTAATTTATAAATTACATTGATGTATATTTAAATAATCGTACCAAAAACGTTTTCAAATGAAATATTTGTCTGTTTGTATAAAACTATTAGTCAAACAGTTAGAATCGTGATACAATTTGTAAAGATATTATGTCAGAATTTCATAATAAACCACGTCTACTTTCATTGCGACAACTTCTACAAGTTTAACAATCAATACAATACTTTTAGATAACGTAACGTAATTCGAGAAAGCGTTTCGTGTCGTTGATTGTAACACGTTTCGCATTGGAATTACACCGTGTATTTCAGAATGTGACGAAAATACCAAAGTACGGTATTTTGACTGTTATGTACTCTGATATTTTTATACAAAGTTTTCACTAAATCTCTAACAACATTTAACTGTTTCGTGTTAAAGAATCATCGACATTTACCAATGATGAAACGTCCAATCTAAAAAATCCCGTATACGTCTGATTATTATAATTCTTTCTATGTTTCTCTGTAGGAATAATATTTTGCCAAGAGATATTAATCCCAATCTTTCACTTTTATTCCTGCTTCTGTTCTTGGAAATTCGCTAAAATTCTCAAAAGCTGTAAGAGGCAATTATGCTCTAGTTGACAATTTATTTTTCTGGTTTCAGTCTGGCCATCGAGTACCTCGATTTAATATAGTAAATTGGGCAGTCTGTACTCCAGCATCGTGTAGTTTCAAAGATGTCGAGACGTCTATTCGCGAGATCCTTACTAGATACACCTCGCAAACTGGCGTAAAAGTTACGGTGAAGGTGAACAAAGAAATGTGTCAAGTAAAAACGAAAGAACCTGTACCAAAGGAAACTATATTTGTTAGGTAAAAATATCTGAAAAATTATTTATTATAAATAACTAGAGATTGTGGAAAATAATTTTCATAATGCACAGTGTGCTGAATCTTGAATAGAGAATAAAATGGTAACTGATATCTTTTTCAGCTTACTCTTCATAGCTATATCTGTCTTGACAATTGTAGCAGCTCTTTGTGATCATTACAAAATACCAACAAGCGAATTACTTCTATCGTTCTCTTTGAAACGTAACTTCAAGAAGCTTATATCGTTAGAACGAAGACAAAATGACATAGCTACACTTCATGGTATACGAGCTATAAATGCTCTAATGCTGCTTTTAGCTCATAAAAGCATGGCTCTATTCTTTAATCCTTACGCAAACAGAACGGAAATGAGCGAGGTATGATCGCGCTATCTATGGAGATTATTTTATAATAAACATTGATTATATTTCTAATTCTAACGAGGGAATCCATAATTTAATATTTTTCAGTATCTTGGTAAACCATGGACGGTCATAGGAAGAGCTGCCAGCCTTTACACAGACCCATTTATAATGCTTTCTGGTCTTTTAACATCATATTCTTTTATTGGGAAACTAAAAAAGACTGGCAATTTGGACATAAAAGATGAATACATATCTCGTTTAATCAGGTGATACAGATGATTTATATTATCTTTTATACATTGTACTTTCAAATGCGTTAAAAAATGAATAGAGATCAGAATAAATTGATCAAATCCAATAGATCAAATTTCAGCATCTATTACTAATTGGATACTAATTTTTCTTCTTAGAATAGTGCCACCTTTAGCAACCTTGATATTGTTATGCACATATGTAATACCTTATACTGGCTCTGGACCACAATGGAATTTGGTGATAACCGAACATGCAAATATTTGCAAGAGAACATGGTGGAGAAACTTTCTATTTATTCATAATTACTTTGGATTCGAATCTATGGTATAAGTCACGCATTAATTTTTGTAAAATTATATAATAGGATAAGATATACTAACAAATTATGTATCTCTAGTTACAAAGCACTTTTTTCAATTTTAGTGTCTTACTCATACTCATCACCTAGGCATAGACACGCAGCTATTCATTCTTTCACCTTTGATGGTGCTTCTCCTTTATAAAAAGCCAAAGATTGGGACTATTGTTCTTACTATGTGTGCTTTATTTTCAACTGCACTTCGATATTTTGTAACATATTACAGAGAATTAAGCAATTATGTCTTCTTTGGTACCTCGTAAGTTAATGAATTTAGAAATTTTGACTGAGTATTTATTGAATATTTATACTCCTTATATCTATACTTCTTCTTCCTAATCTATTTATACGTTTACAGGATAAAACAACTATTCGATACTGCAGATTTTTCATATACTCTGCCATCGCATAGACTGACAGTTTACATAATAGGAATTTTTATGGGCTATCTGTTAAGATATTTGCCAAAAGATTACAAGATGAATAAAGTAAGTAGCATAATATATAATTTACAGATATTAATGTAACATTAATTATTTCCATATCTTTTTTAGATGGTTCTTTACACAGGTTGGATCTTATGCACATTCATGTGCTGTTGTGCATTCTTTGGACCTGCACGTATGGGATCCATAAATTATATATATAACCCAATAGATGCTGCAATGTATAATGCATTTGCTCCCATTGGCTGGTGTAGCATATTTGCATGGGCAACTGTGACGTACCATACTGGGAATACAAGTGGTAAAAACCATCTTATGAAATATAGATAATAGATATTCATACAGTTATACAATTACAAACAGATATGAATGTAATAACTGAAATTATAGATTGGTTCAGTAGACTTTTAGCGTGGAAGGGATTTCTGGTTACTACAAGGCTCAGTTATGCGATATATTTAACACAGTTTCCAATATACTTTTACAATGTTGGAAGAACTCGAAGTGCTGGACATTTTGCATTCTTCAGCATGCAAGTAAGTTGTAAATGTAAACCTACGCATAAATACAGTTATTAATAATATATTTACTTTTTTACAGTTTGACCTACATGAATTTTTATGGATTTTTATTTTATCAATAGTTCTCACTTTACTAGTTGATACGCCATTTCAAAATATTAAAAGCTATTTAATGAAAAAATCTTCATTGCCAGAAACAACGACGAAATCGTTGAAACAACAATAATTTTTTCACCAAATAATTGCAATTTAATCAAAACTACTGTAAATAGTGCCTATGATCTTTATTTCATTTTTAGTAAGATGAAATCCTATAGCTTGCCTCGTATACGATGTATATGATAGCTAAGAACAATCATAATTTATATAAATATTCTTAAATTTCATTTATATAAGTACTTGTAAATAATATGTATTTTTGTAATTTTAATAGTACATTTTTTTAAATCTTTGTAGATGTTAAATATTATGTTACGCGGACTAATGTCTAACTGGTTATTTTAGTGCAGCGTTATTTATTTAAGAGCGTTTTTTTTATTGTACTTACTCCGTTACAAAATAATATTTAAGAACATTCATAGCAACAAAAAATTTATTGCGTTTATTTCTGAACATATTTCTTAAACTTTGAATGAACTGCACATTGGTGAAAATTATAAATGACGTAATAAAGTTTTATTAACAAATAATATTTATTGCAACGATTCTTCAGTTAATAATGCTATGTCTGTTTTAGTTATAATTGGATTAAGTTTTACATATCATCTAATAAAACGTAATTATTAAGGGGTAATAAAATTGTTTATTATTGAACTTGATTTGTTTATTATTTTAATCAGAATAAAGAGTATCATTAAAAAAGAATATATTTTTGTATACAATTATTATCACATTAAAGTTATTAAATGTAAAATGCGATAGTAAATTTGTAAATATATATACATAGATATATAGAACTTGAATATATTTTAATATTATGTTGTTAATTTAAACAATTTTAATTAGAATTTAATTTCTATACAAGAACAAAAATGATTCCATTTTGAACATTTAAAATATATACAAGAAATAATTTATATTTTCATTATATGAAACTGACTGTAAACCCATTGTTGTTCAAAACAATATAGTTTCCCGCAATAAAAATCTGCATTCATTTAAAAAAAGCTTATAAACTATTTCTACTAAATCTACCACTTAATATGTACGAATGTATTATATTAATGATATTAAAACAAATTAACTTAAAAATATATCAAACAGAATAATATATCAAATGATACTTACAATGTTATCACTCTACAGATGGAAATTTTACAATAAAGTCTTAATTATAGAGGCATTGCAAACACTGAAATTAAAAAGAAATTACTAAATTAAAGAAAACAATATATATAGAAAAATTAACAAAAGTAATCAATGTCAAATATAAAAGATATCTAAAAGCACAAATTTCTAGCTTTTATAATAAATTATTCTTACCTCCATACAAACATATATTGTGTATAATAAAAATAAAAAATAAAATTGTATAATAGAATATGTGTAACTATTTATTAATGTGTGCCTTTTTATGTTAATCATTAATTATTGAACATACTACCATCATTAATGGCACAACTGTTATACCTTGAGCTAAATATTGTAAGTAAATAAATAAGATTTTGAAAGATATACCATAAGACTCTATGTAGTTTAATTAAATAAGTAATCTTTTCATATATATTATATAAATATAACATGTCTATGAAAGCTCACAAATAATGATTAAAGTTTATAGATTAAGAATGATTTAATATATTAATCATTTTATATCATATAAATTTATATACCTGCTAATTACCACTCTTGATGTAAAGATAATGTATTTAAGAGAAATCTCGATTTGTTAATACTGCTGGAGCTATCAATGACCAAATGTACAGCGTTAAGCACATCCAGGAAGATATAATTTTTACCCACATTGAAGCAGTATTAGAGTTCAAGGTATCCAAATTGGAATTTGGCCTATAAAATAAAAATAATATTCATATATATATATATATATCTATATTCTATATTCTATATTCTATCTATATCTATATATATATATATATATATATATATATATTCTATATATATATTCTATATATATATATATATATATATATATATATATATATATATATATATATATATATATATATATATATATATATATATATATATATATATATATATATATATATATATATATATATATATATATATATATATATATATATATATATATATATATATATATATATATATATATATATATATATATATATATATATATATATATATATATATATATATATATATATATATATATATATATATATATATATATATATATATATATATATATATATATATATATATATATATATATATATATATATATATATATATATATATATATATATATATATATATATATATATATATATTCTATATATATATTCTATTCTATATATATATATATATATCTATATTCTATATCTATATTCTATATTCTATATTCTATATTCTATATATATCTATATATATATATATATATATAGAATAATAAGATTATGTATATGATTTTATTTGAAGTAAATAAAAAATACTTACTGATACCAATTAGTAAGTGTCATCATAACGTATAAAGTGGCCAGAGCAAACATGAGATGGAAGAAACTCCAGTTGTAAGCTACAGCATCTTCTTCGTTATCCCAAACTTTAGCTTCATTTCCAGTTTCTGAATCAGGATTGCGACCTTTTACCGGAGTATAATCTAATTACAATTAGGGAAAAGAGGAATAAAAGAGAAGAAAATATTTATCTACAGTGCAGTTATCGATGTATGAAATATTCCTGTTAGGATTAACAACACTACTAGACTCACAAGTAATACTACATACATGCACATTAAAATAAATTTGTTTCAAGCTATGCGGCACATAGAAAGGAAAATATTAAGCCAAGCAACATTACATAGATTAGCAAACAAAAAACAATGAAAAAGATATATTTTTATGTAGCATCAAAATTATATTTTTGATTGATAACTTAAAATGTTTGTGTTAAAAATATGACAACTCTTTGTCAAAAAATTGAATATAAAAATGTAAAAAAGGAAATACGCAAAATAGTGAAAGAAGGCACACGCTACTACTAAACGAATACTATATAAATAACGATTATATTCTATACTTCAAAATTTGATTTTTCTAAAAAATAAATGTTACGTGATTTATCTGTACTAAAATTTGAGAATTAATTAAATTTGTGCAAATGCATAAAAATATATTATATGCATATTATGTGATGCTACATTTTTTTCAAATAAAACAAAACAGGAGGGGTAGAAACACTGAATTTGAATTCTATTTTAATTTAATAGTGTGTGCCTACCTTCATTGTTGATAAGACTTTGGTCTCCTGCATTCCTGACTGTACAAAGAAAGTACAATTTGTTAAAGACACTTTAACAAGTTATTAGTGTATGTTTAAATACATAGTCTTACTATGCATGCATAAGACAATGTTTTTCTTAAAATTAACTCATAAATATATCAATAATGGTATATGAAATCTATGAGTTTGTGTATATTTACTAGAGAATAAGACTTACGTTTAATTATTATTTAGCTTAAATGAAAAGAAACATGTACCAATTTTATGTGAAATACAACTACATTTACATACCAGCTCCATTATCCTGGACCAAAATGTTTTCGGACATTGTAATCTTTGATGATTTAGATGCAGTACGCAAAGAACTATACAGTACGCAGCTAAACCAAATAATTAATCCAATAATGCTTTCCTTATCAAAGGCAACACGATTCTTTGCATCAGCATCATTGCCAGAAATTAACCCTAAAAATCCAGGATTGCACTCACGATCTGTAAATAACACAAAGACAGTGACATACATAAATATATATGAATAAATGTTCACTATGTATATATATGAAATAATTTTCACTAATATATAAATAAATATTAATATATTACATTCATATGTTCAGAATATATACCTGGACTATTTGAAATTCCACTCCAAGTTAAATAAACAACATACAGGGATACAATAGATGATTGAAGAAGACCAGATCGTGGATTATGTTCTTGCACAGTTGATAGAGTTGATATAATACTAGCAATTACACATAAAATCAGGTTGAAAGATATGAAAAATTTGTTCAAATCACAACTATCTGCCTATAAGAGAGAACAAAAGTAAACAGAGATGAACTTAAAAGCTAAATATTAATAAAAATTATAATTATTTCGTATGAAAACTTACATGTGTAAAGTATATAAACAATAGAACAATTCCAGTAATAGAAACAGCGTAATTAAATAATGTTGCTCCCAAAAGTGCAGCATACCTGTATATTTAATTATATAAATTTATATTAATAATAGAAATTTACTTGTTTTATAATAATTACAAAATAGGTAAATTGTAATGATATAACAACTAAACATACCATCCTTTTGATTCAGTATCTTCATAATTTCCTACCCAATTATCCGCCCATGTATGGGCAAAATCAACAATCAGAATTAATTGTATAATAATAAAAAGAAGGCCTCCTATCATACCAAAATACATCCATGTTGTCCCAAATGATTTTTCAGGTATAAAGAAAGCACCAATTATTCCACCAATTATTAGAAGATATTTAATAGCCCAGAATCTAAAAATAGAATCCACATATTAAATTAATTGTCTATAATATATATTGTATATTAAATTATTTTATCATACCCATTTTGTATAGGAGCCCGAGGATCTTTAGAACTTCTTACTCTTATCATCATAATTGACATTAGGAAGAAATAAAGGGCTATAATAAAACATATTCTATAGACTGCTAAATATCCAACAGCAGATTCACAATCAACGGTGAATTTTGATGGTACGTAATTTGAACTATTGGTACAAAATGGAACCTACACACATAACATATACAGGCAATGTATATTCTTGTATTTATTATATATATATATATATATATATATATATATGGATATAATATATATATCTATTTGATTTGAGATTCATTTCAATATTTTCATATTTTGAAACGTTACCTTTTTAAGTGCGTCCTGTAAACCGGGAGCCAATGTAATACAAGCAGCAATTGTTCCCAGCATTAATAATAATGCATACATAATACGAGTACTTGTACTGTTGCGACATGTTGGACATTGGGAGCAACAGAAGCTGCAAGCTGTGCTTCCACAAAGGCAAGCAAGCTATATAACAAGATGTTCAAATCAATATGAATTATACAAAAGTATTTATATGTGTTTATTCCATTTAGGTTATATTTCTTTTATTTGTGTTAAAACAATTGATGCATTACAAATAGTAAAGGCAAAATCAACATTTTGTGAAAAATTTTGTTATTTTATCAACTTGATCTATGGTAAACAATATATATATATATATATATATATATATATATATATATATATCTGACTACATTTGACAAGATACCTTTTTGTTTCAATATAAAACAAGGTTTTGTTGAAAATAAAGAACATTTTTTGCCGTTCACAGTTCTAATAATAGAAGTAAACTCCACAGTGCTCACTGCCTTGCTGGTTGAGTTTGCGCATATGAAAAAAGTTTATAACACTGTTCTCTCAAAATAAACTTTTGTTGAGTTCACCCCTACTATCAGTAATTCCTCAATTGTATTTATTCATAGTATTAAGGTATTATCTTGTACAATTTATAAATTTTTTTTTAAATCAAGTAATTTTTATATCTTATTTTGTAGAAGTTGTTTCGGCTTTATTTCAGGAGAATTAATATTTACAGATTCTTTTTAAGAATTTAAAAAAAATCAATATGATGTACAGTAGAATGACATAATCAAGATCATAATTAAGTTTCGATGATTCATAGAATTTTCCTCGTATAATCTAACCGAAGAAAAACATTATTTTCGTAAGACAAAATAGCCGACAGAATTATCAGATTAAACTGAGTGAGATATACACAACCAGTGATTTAAGTCATACAGACGCGTTCGGGAAAAAAAAGATACAAATGTTATTTAAGTTAATCTTTTTACCTGTGCCGTAGAGCAAATAAGACCCATTACGATGTCTTATGTCCGTTCAATTTATTGAACGGTACGTAAACGCGTATAATTTATCACTATATTAAATACGACGCTATAAACCACGAACTGCAGGAGAAGACAAAGAACACTGTAGCTCAGTGCAACAAAATTGTCACAATAACAATGGCGTCTTGACAGGTGACCGCAGCTAACTTCTCGCCATCAGCTGACTAAAACGTCATATCCCTTCACCATAAACATAATACATATGTAGATTCATTCCTTAACAGAACTTTCTATTGAAACTGCTTTATCTGATCATCTGCTTCCTTCTTCCAACATGTCACCGCGCGAAATGCTGTAATTTCAAATTTTAATTTAAAAATATGCCATCAGAGTACGCTTGGTTCAGGAACGTATCACGTTCCATTAGTACCCGCATACTACCTGGATTTTCTTGAAATTTATTTCGGTATTCGTTTGTTTATATTGAAATACAATAAATCATGTTAACATATTGCGGACTAATCGTTTTATTACTTAATTATACCCAGGATATATAGTAAGAATATAGTTAAATTATTTTTCTCTAAACGACAACGATGGATGACAACAAGAATTTTCGTGATCAACCACAAGCATTATTAATAAACACGAGAGTTCTCACGAACGTGATCCGTCTGCAATATATTAAAATTATGAATATAGAACTATTTAAATTAAGATTTTCACCGTTTTAAAGCAATGACATGTCGATATGTATTGACTTTTCCAAATTGATGACTTATGATGAATTCTCTGCTTCCACTTTTTAATACGACGCCCCGCGAACTGATGTAATTTCAAATTTTTATTTCTATTTCTGCCACCAGACTGCAGCTAACTCGGGTACGATACTATAGCACAATCAGATTACAATATAGTCAGACGTTTTAGAGGAACTACTTCAAGAATTTCCTCACTGTAATAATTGATTGGTCCTCGAAAACATTTGATACTCCTTGAAGCAAATTGGGGAGCATTGTCGCTTTTAATTGTGCTCATATGAACAATGGCTACATAATCATACAGAGTACGTGAATACACGGTTTTATTACAAGTGTAAGCAAATTGTACAATAAGAATACCAATTTTTAACAATATTAACAACGCTTGCACATAATTAGAACTTCGCACATTTTTTCATCTACTTACACACATTTATGCTTAATTTTAAGTTATAAATAACAATATGTATAATATAGAATTTGTACTTATAAGTGCCTACTTTATGAAATAAAATTGTATTATATATTATATATTATTTATTGTTGTATATGCTTCCATATTATTTGAATATATTTTTAACATTTAATATGTGTTCGAATCATTCTGGCTATCAACGATGACTCATTTTCCACGGAAGTATTAAGCTAGACCGATAACATCTTGCGTGTATAATTAGACAAAGATTGAGTCACAATTAATTTCGTTCACTTTATTTTTTAAAAAATCGCAATGTCTTTTACTTCTTATTTTACGTGCTTTATATAAGTGTATCTGAGTTTATCATTGCTATCAACTGAACTACTGTAATTAATACTTACAGCTACTTGTACTCAAGTATGTATACTTCATAATATCAGATGCAATGATCTTAATAATAGAATACAAGTTTTGATATTAATCATAATTTAGATTATAATCTACTAACTCTTTTACGATTAAGATTAAAATTACAAAATCTGTAGATTAAATTTAAATGTGATTCAAACACAAATATAATTTTATTCTTACCACAATTAATTTTCTTACTGTATGTATACATCCATCTTTTTCTTTTTTAATGAATATTAATTCGTACAATAAATGTTTACGAAAAGTTTTATGATATTTAGACAATTAAATAGCATAATTGGAATAAAATTATTTTAATTTTATTTCATGGTTGTATAATATTACAAATTATTTGAATAAATTTTAATACGATTTTATATAAATAAATGTTTCATTCTTGCAGGAAAAATATAAATAAAATAATTAACAGGGAGCTAAGGAAATTAACCTTTTATATACATAACAAAAAGTTATGTAAATATCTATAAAAGTATAATAAGTTACATATTGAATTAAAATTTAGTTATTATTTAATACAAATGGAAGGTAACTGTGAAGACAATAAAGTATCTAAGCCAAATCCTTGGCCATACATGAATGTGGGTTCATTGACCATATCATTTTTTACTAAATTGGCAACTGTTGGTTTTATTTGGAGCTGGGGATATCTAAACTTAAATATAGCATGGTTAATTGCACCAATTGCTTTGGTAGCATGGAAAACAGAACGCAGGAAAGACAACGAATTAAAAGCAATTACTGCCCAAGCTAGTGTTATGGCTAAAGAAAAAGAACTAATAATGAGTCGATTGGATGAATTACCTTCTTGGGTTTACTTCCCTGATTTTGATAGAGCTGAATGGTTAAATAAAGTATGGAAGATCTTGATATATCATTTTAATACTTTAAATTATTAATATATAATATTTCCTTCATATTCTAAGGTTTTGTACAAAATTTGGCCAAATATAAATCAATTTGCTCGTGAACTTTGTAAACAAAGTATAGAACCTGCAATAGTAGAAAAATTAGGAGAATATAAGGTAAAGGGATTTCAATTCGAAAGGCTGGTCTTAGGTCGTATTGTAAGTACACTTTTATATTCACAATAGTTATCTTTCTTTTTATTATAAATATATCAATATTACAACTAATCCTTATATTTTGTTGCAGCCTTTAAAAATTTATGGTATTAAAGCATATGATAAAAATACTTCAAGGAATGAAGTCATTGTGGATGCAGATGTTATGTATGTATTAATTATTTGTGTGATTTTATTAACTTTATAATGTTTTATATAATTTATATAATTTATTTCTAATTATTTAATTTTATAGATATGCTGGTGATTGTGATATTACTTTCTCGGTAGGAAATATAAAAGGTGGTATTAGGGATTTTCAGGTAAATACTATTAAAAGATATATGTTTGGTAATATATACTGTTTGCAAGCTTTATTAATTTATATACGCAATTAATTTTTAGATTCGCGGAATAATGAGAATAGTTATGAAACCACTATTACCTGTAATTCCTATAGTTGGAGGTGTGCAAGCATTTTTTTTAAATCCACCTGCTATTAATTTTAATTTGGTTGGAGTCGCGGATGTTCTCGATTTACCTGGATTTAAGTAAGAAAAGTTTAGCAATAAATAAATTTATGGTTTATCTCTTGAAAAGAATAATTAATTAAATATTTTTTAATAGTGAAATTTTAAGGAAAACGATAGTGGAACAAATAGCAGCCTTTGTAGTATTGCCAAATAAAATTGTTATACCATTGAGCGAGGCAGTACCAGTTGAATCATTAAAAATACCAGAGCCTGAAGTAAACTTTTCATTTACAATACTTAATATCTAGATGTTAATTGTTGATGCTCGATTGTTCAGCATAATATAATTATATTTCTTTCTTAGGGTGTTTTAAGAATTCATGTAGTAGAAGCAAAACACCTTATGAAAAAGGATATAGGAGTGTTGGGTAAAGGTAAATCTGATCCATATGCCATTATAAATATTGGAGCACAAGAATTTAGAACAAAGACTATAGATAATACTGTGAATCCAAAATGGGATTTCTGGTGTGAGGTATGCATAATATCTTTTTTTTAGAAATCAAATATTGATAATATTTAATGCATGTGCTTTGCTACAATATTTTTTTATAAGTCCTTTGAAATTTCAAGCACATCGTCTTTTATGTGGTAAGAAATATTATTTTTTAGATAGACAGAAGCACATGATGCACAATAGTAGACATGTATTATCAAAAAACATTAGACAGAACATTTTGAAATTTCTTCATATTATTTTTGTTCTTTGGTCATATTACGATTCATCGTCATCATATCTATAATTTATTATTTTATTATTTTTTTTATACGTTTACAATCCCGTCTCAGTCAGATGTAAGATGTAAGATGTTGCTGATCTAACACATCAATGCTTTTTCCTAATAAATCAGTAAACTATAATCATTTTTACATTTACATGTACAATTTTGCTTGGAATTGTTTGCTTAGAAGAAGATATAAAATAATTCACGGATAGATCGGAAGCATCTTAGTCCATATCAGTCTAATTTAATTTCGTATTTTGGTATGTATGTATGTATGTGATGTGCGATGTGTTATGTGGGATTAGTGTGCCGTGATGTCAGCCATCGCTCAACAAATGACTGTGCTGTTATGGGACTATGATGACACCAAAGGAGATGAAAGTCTTGGAAGGTATGGGAATAAAGTAACATATATTTTCATTTTTTTTTTCAATTTTATGCTCAAGGTAAGCTGTATTATAAAAGCTAATGAAAAATTGTTTTAATCGTACTTGTTACGTTTTTTATTTAATTGTAACTGAAGATAATTACTATTTAATTTATCATTTAATTATCATCTATACGTTTCCATTGTATATTTTAATCATATATTATTGTATATTAGATCACATCATATATTAAGAGTATTACTGTCATACTTGCAAAGTAGAAGCATGTTGGTGCTGCATTATGGTATTTTTAGCATTTACAATTTTTGGTTTTTGAGTGGTGTTTGAATGTGTGTTGGTTTACTGTGTCAGCAATCACTTAATGCTTGCTATAATGTGCAATAATAAATCTGTAATAATGTCTTTTAGTATTAGAATAAAATAAAATATTTTACTTTAACAACATTAATTATTTTTTATTTTGTTTAATTTAATTTAATTATTTGTTGTTTAAATTAAAATGTTTTATTTTAATTATACTCATAGTCATCTTATGTGGCACATATTTACTCAAAATGATATATATAGTACATTTATGTTTTATACATGAGAGATTTAGAAAAACAATATTTTTGTCTATCAAAGTTTATATGTATCATAGCATTTTCACATTATGATTATATTGGCACAGGCTGTGATCTGCTCATGTCTAATGCAGAATATTATGGTGTCTCTTTGGGATAGGGATGTAGTAACCATCCCAGGTATTCAATATGGTGACTTCCTTGGCAGGTAGTAGATGCATTTATAGTATAATATTTAATAATTTAACAAAAATAGTGAACTTTAATTAACTGAAATTATTGCCTTACTTGTTATAGATCTTTCTTCTTTCCCTGTCATTTTAATATGAGTCTTGTATGTTAATGTAATTTTCTTTTGAATAATTTATAAATTTATTCAACTTTAAATAGCAACAATATGCTGTGCTATGATATACTTACAATGTGTGCCATACATATGTATTTGGTGTGTTTACTTTTATGATCATATAACAGTTTTTATTAAATTTAGTTTTCTTCATTAATTAAAGTTTTCTTTCTATTCTTTTTTTCATAATCATAATTAAGAGTCATTCTATGACATTATCATATTATTTCATTTATTTTGCATTTCGTATTTGCATTATTTAGTATCTGTATGACATAAATTACTTTCCTGAGTTTTTTTTACATATATATATATTAGTTAATCTTGTAATGATAATATCTTCTAATTTTGAAAACTTGCTTTTAATTGTATTTACTAATTTTATGGGAGTGATTAGGTGACTGCATTTGATAAAATAAAAAACTAAACTAGATTGTGTGATGGCAGTTTATAGTGGAAAAGAGCTTGGGAGCCTATTACAACACGGTGGCTGCCCACCTTTTTGACAAAGACAACGCTGGTCAAGATGATCCACTTGGCAGGTATTGCTACTTGTAGCAAGTACAGGCATAGAATGTATTTGAAATATTTTCTACAGTTAGCTTAGAAGAACGTTCCTTGTTTAAAAAATTGTAAAGTTGTACTGTCATTATGGTGCATGTTACTGAAAAAGATGTTTAAGAAGACATGGTAAATTTATATTATAAGAATAGTGCAACATATATGTGCCCTTTGCAATTACAGTAAAATGACAATTTCTGTCACCACATTACTCTTTTCATTTCAATTATTGTCTTTTTTTTTAGAAATCAGTTTTCTTATACAAGAAGGTACTGCTTATATGATTATGAATATATAATATACAGGAATTTATTGCTTATTTGTGAAACGAATGTTAGGAATTTATAATGTATGCTGTAATTGCATGACTGCTTTGTAATATACATAAACTAAATTTCATAAATATACTAATCATCATTCATCTGTATAATTACCATTGTAAACAAAATAGTAGCTAATTTCCTATACTTTAAGTAAAATATATAAATTACTAAATGTACTTATTTTGCCACAATGCAGGGCTACTATTGAAGTTAGTAGAGTGAAAAAGAAGGGAAATATTGATACAGTAAGTATAAAAAACGGTAGCATTAAGGTAGTAATAAATTTTCAGTAATAATAAAAACATTACCTTCTAGTGGATTTCATTGGAACAAGCAAAACATGGTATGGTTCATTTACGTTTAACATGGCTTCAACTTTCAAAAAATGTTGCAGATTTGCAAGCTGTATGTATTTTTAACAGAACGTAAATATTTATATAGAGTTTATAAAATAATATTATAAATGTATGCAGGCATTAATTGAAACTCAAGAACTCAGAATAACATCAATGAGTACAGCTCTTCTTATACTTTATATTGACTCAGCAAGAAATTTACCAGTAAGTATAATTGATCTATTTTAAAATAATAGATTTTTGTTTAAGAAAAGCGAATAAAATTATTGAATTACAGTGTATTCGAGGTAATAAACAACCTGATGTTTATCTTGAAGCAAGTGTTGGAGGAAGCACAAAAAGAACAGGTACTATATTACGTTCTTGTGATCCAGTGTGGGAACAAGGTTTTACCTTTTTAGTGAGCAATCCACAAACTGGTGTTTTACATATAAAGGTTATTTATTATTTTCAAAAATATTTCCTTTTTACACCAACTGTAATTTTATACTTTATTTATCTTAATTTTTAGATCACAGATGAAAAGACTGGTGTCATAGTGGGAGAAATGAGTCACAATATTTCTTTACTTTTAAAACAAAATAATCTTGAAATTACACAACAGCCTTATGATCTGCAAATGGCCGAAGTTGATAGCAAATTAATATTATCCATGTCACTAAATGTACAAACTCCTTGAACTTTTTATATTGATACATTTGTAAGCAATAAGTACATTGTATTTATACACTTAATTTCATTTGCAGATTTTGAAATACGAAGAACCTGAGCCTACTTCGGAAGAAGATGACGACGACCACGATATTAATCAACTGAATAAAAGAATCGAACGCCAAGAATCAAATATCAGCACGATATCAACTAGTCGTAAGTCTATCAATAATTACTTATATTTCAATGGGATTTAATAATCTTATATAAATAATTTTATAATTCTACGATCTTTTCTAGTTCCAGCTAGTCCATTGAATAGACAACCTTCAAAAGAATCAGTTAAGAGTTTAACACACAGTACTGGATCTGCTGCCGTAATTGTACCTGAAGAATCAGGTACCGCAGAGGAGGAATTAATCGTCATTGCTACTGATCAATCTTCTGCTCCTGTTGGAGATCAACAGTTATTCCACAGGAATCCAAATATGACATCATCCGCGGGTGAAGCTAAACTAGGTCGAATACAATTGTCTCTACGTTACAGTGTACAAAGACAGAAGCTTATAATCGTTGTACACAAAATAGCGTACGTAATTTAACAATGTGAAATTTAATTTAACAGTGTGACATTTAACAGAATGTTAACGAACTTTTTACTGTTACAGTAACTTACCTCTACCACAAAATGATCCGTATAACATACCAGATCCATATGTAAAGTTGTATCTTCTACCTGACCGTCATAAGGAAACGAAACGTAAAACAGCAGTAATAAAGGATAATTGTAATCCAATATTCGATGAACAATTCGAGTATGTTGTTTCTCAAGCTGATTTAAACAGTCGCACATTGGAAGTATCTGTATGTACTCAAAAGGGTTGGTTGTCGACCGGAAGCAACGTAATGGGTCAACTTTATTTAAGTTTGGCCGAAATCGATGTCACAAAATCGTCCACAAGCTGGTACGATATACAACCAGAGACTAAAGACTAGAAGTTCAAGAAAAGCAAGTGGAGATTTGAACAGTTGTTTATATGTTTTCGAAGACAATCTGTTGAATTTCCACGATGCGAGTTTTCGAAACGCTGACGTCTGTAATCATGCGTTTAAACCAAATTCCATCATACTATGAAGAGTAGAAAATTTTCGGAAGGGTTTAACCGATATGAAAGTTCTGAGAAAGTGTCAATGAGTACGTCTATTATCTATTTATACTTGGACCGTCCACTGTCGTAAAACTTGTTTAATTTTGTAGTTACTGCGCGCGTGCGCGCCGTTTCCTTTTATGTTATGTTATCTACGCTTATAGAATATTTTCGTCGCTAACAAGTGCCAGTAAAACAATTTATTGTTGCTAGTATCTGCATAATATACGTGCGATAGTAACTTTACGCATATTACGATTATACGCATAATATAACATCTGTTATTCATTAAACATGACTTAATCTTTTTGCACAGAGGTTTATTAATAGGGTGTTTCAAATTATGTTTGATCAATGAATGTATGATCTTGCTTTTATTACGCTTAACTTATTGAATCTATTACCTCATTTACTACATACTTGTGATTTATTTACCATTGATGCATTTATATCATTTGAATAACGAGTTACCAATTAAATAGTATCATGATCTGTACATCATGCTCTTAAGTAATAAAATTAATAACAAATTATAGTCAGCAGTATCGTTCAAAATTTATCACTAACATAGGTTGTTACGAATCAAACTAATATATAATATATACGTGTTATTATATTTATACCAGAGTTTTTGCTATATTGTATATTGCTATATATTATATAAATTTATGTTTCTGCATATACTGGTATAGGATATTACCAGTGCAATATTGCAAATTGTTGATGATAATAAAATTAAATATATATATATATATATTAAAGCTGCAAGTACCTCGAAGTTCTTCTTTTCTCCTGATGAAATCAACTGAAGTATCTCCAAGGAAACGCAACAATAGCAAATAGCAGTGACGCGTATTCTTACGTCGATATCAGATACGTAAAGTGTTTCTCCGTAAATCGGCTACAAACTCTTCAAATGTATCATATTTATTAATCCAATTTTCATCGGCAGTAAAATGCAGCGTGATCTTATGCTTCCATGTCTACCAGGGTTTAGTTTCGATAAAAACGTAAGTCATTTTTCTTTTACGGTCTCATGACACTTTGTGTTTAATTAACCGATATATGCATTGGCTACGACATAGAATTTCATGAAATAATTTTACATTATTGATGAGCATAGAACATACGCACTTAATTCATTATATATAATACAAAAAACGCTTGATGTATCTCCTTGTTTAGCTTGATCGAACAAACTTTGCGAGGAATCAATACTTTACTAAAATTCACGATGGAGTTTATTATTTATCGGAAAAGTTTGATAAAAGCGATCCAATTCGTTATCCGTCAATTTATGCTCGCGGGGAAGTTCAAGAACTGCCTCCTTGGATTGCCTATGATGGCCAAGTACGATCATTTATCTAGAAAACTAGACAATTAATATCGATGACGTTTGATAATTCATACAGGAGTTGAAAATAATTAGACAAAGTAGATTAATTTATTGAATATATTTATAGCGATATTTTCTATATCGAATGCACTTTTCAGAGGTTAATGTTCAAAGCATTTTTTCAAGAAACAGTTAACGAAAGATGGAAAGCAGCTTACCAAATACGCGTGGTAAATATCAGCTTCTTTTTGGAGGATGGAACGATGAAAATTTCTGAGCCTTCCGTGGACAATAGTGGACTTGAGCAAGGTTCAACGGTGCATTCTCTTCGATACTTTTAATTATTTAATATATATTTAAATCTGTCAAAGTTTTATTACTGAAAGATGAAACGCGTGTACTTAGGCGTCTTGTTAAGGCGACAGAGAATTCCAATGCCTGATCCAGTGAGATACAGATACTACGATATAATAGATCTAAATATCGGCAAAGAGCCGGAATTATTTGGGAGAGTATATAAGATCGTAGACTGTGACAAATTTACGAGACAATTTTTAAATCGTATGGGAATCGCCGTGCCAGATCCGATAGAAATACCAAAGGATCCTTATTTGGAACTTCATAAGCGAGTAAGTACAATAAAAATAGTGTCCGACATAATTATGGTTATTTAACTAATATTTTACTTACAATGAAACATTGACAAAAATATTCTTTACCTCCGTTTGCATATAATTTTACCTTTGCACACAACTTAATACATACACGAACATTATTTTTTATCGTACTGTATGTGCTTACTTAAAAAGAGATTTTACCGTAAAACGTGGAGTTTCGAAAACACATAACGTGCATGGAAGTCTTTAATCTTATTTTTATACTTTAGGAATCAACATTGTTTTAATGTGATCTATATTATCGCGAAATGGGATTCTCCAGTTATCTAGAAGCATTATTTTTCTTTTATTATTCTATTATTTATGATACACTGTCCTCATCTATCGATTTAAGAAGGATTTCCGGCTTTACATCTGTTTGTTTACATCAGCAATAGCCTGCTTACTCTACGCTTTGATTGATCGAAATAGGAAACATTTCCAAAGAAACCAAAACAGAAGGTGGATACTCGCGGCGATTTCTTGAAATACGACAAACAAGTGCTTCGATTTTATGGATATTGGGATGACACGGATAACCTTTACGGTGTCGTGCATGATCTGGAAATTTACTATTACCTAGCTGACAACACGATAGAGATCAAAGAAAATCTGCCGTCGAATTCCGGACGAGATTCCGGTTCCACGTTTTTGCGACGTATGCAAGTTCCTAAAGTAAGAATTTTTTTACTTTTCGACTGTTCTATTATAGGAAATTTTCACAGAATGATCCATGTAACAATTAAAAAACGACTATACTTATAAGGCAAAATTTTCATTATGAGTGTAATACGCATTTTTGCTTGTGTCATGACAGAATTGACAGTCGATGTACTCTCATTGTACGGGATAATTGAGCTCGCGAGTTTACACAGGTTGGCATAGATAGAACAGGTTAGACTGGACCGAAGATGCAAAAACCAATTTGATTTTGGCATATGATTTTGCAAAACTACGAAAAGATGATTTACGTACCCAAAGATTGCAGGCAGTGACTCGCTGCTTTTATACGCTATTTATAATGGAATTTAGTTTAGCAAGACTTGTAACTCAAGGGATTAATGGACGGGCATTCGAATGTAGATCTTCTCGGAAATGGGCTCGATCGGAACAGGGAACGCTTTTACCGTCTTGAACGTCATGGGAGACGATACATCCCATGGTTATTACACGATAGATCCATTGAACACTGGAAAGGTTCGTAGGGAGTATTACAAAGAAAATGAACTTAGTATCGGCGCACAAGTAAATATCTTCGGCAGAATAATTGTCATAACAGACATGGACGCTTTTACGAAGGAATACTACAGGTAAAATATCCAAAATACATATTTAAAGGCGAGATCGCGAAATAGAAATAGATAAAATATTGTAAAATTAGTTCATTTTAATGCGTTAAGGTGCACTCTATTTGTTGGGGATTGTTTTAGAAACGTTTAGAAATAACTTGACAAAATTTTATGTATATATATACACAAGGTGTCCAGCTATAGGAGGCGACTTAAATATCTTGGAACATTTAACAACATAAACGTGTAAGTTCACATGTCATCCTAACATCGTCTTACAGTTTCATCATCCTTTTAGCGTTCACGGCCATCCGAAGATCATAACTCAGGCATATTCATATTTTCTTGTCTGCTATAAGATGCAACAAAAAAGAGTACGCGTTTTCTACATAAAACATAACTATGGCCTAGAAAAAGAAAATTAAAATATGAAAAGTAAAGAAAAATATTCATTTAAGTAATTTAAATTTAAATTTTAAATCGTGCTACAAGCATTGCAAACGAGAGAGACATCGAAGCGGCCTCCTTCAGCTGGTACATCCTGTATATTTATTACACAAGAATATAATTTCCCATAAAACATTTCCTGGTTTCGAATCATCGTCGCTAATAACTCTCACTTCGTCGCACTTCTGAGGCAACGTTAATACTCACGTAGAAAGCGTAGAAAAGAATGTGTCACGTAAAAAAATGTTCCTTGTATCGCATCAAAGGAAAAAATACGGCCTGGATGACTTCACGCCCATGGAAAGACCTCGAAATGTTGGCGAGATTTGCGTGAAAGTGGAGAGATACATTCCACCCTACAATGGTTTTGGGTCCTACGAAGATTCCCTCGGCAACTGTTTCAGGGTGATACCGCAGCCACCTAAAACAGATGTCGTTAAGTTCCTGCGTTACGACAAGTGAGCTTGAGGCGTGATCACGAATACTAGAATCTCGCGAGTACCTTTTCTTCCTCTTTTCCTCTTCCTTAGACAGGGCTTGGACAGCTACGTTTTGAGATTCAGAGCGCAAATGATATCGAACGTACCGGCTAATCAAGACAGGCAGTTCATTATAAGAGTTTTCCTCATGGACGATACGGTTTCTATTTTCGAACTGGCGAGGAGAAATTCAGGTGAACAGTTTTTTAAGAAAATATTGTTATCGAAATGATCAAAATCAGATTACGAAGATGATACCAAGTCGGAAAGGCTTCTCCTTTCTCCTAAAATAGTTTGATGTTCGACACCTACGGGGTTGTCTTCAAGAAGTCATCGAATGTCCACAAACCAAATACCATTATACATATAAACGGTCGTAGCCTGATTATTAACATTCGTTTCAGTTTAGCTCCTCAACATCGTTTCCTTATTGATTGCATGGGTTTTTCGCGTTATTTGCAGGCTTTAGACGATGCGTGTTCCAGAAGAGAATGCCAGTGATGTTACCTAATCAAGAGGTATTTGTAAGCAAGAAACCGGATTATTACAAGCCGGAGGATTTTTATATTGGAGCACGTCCTAACTTGAACGGTTTTATCTTCGAAATTACTTCGGCCGACGTTTATGCTCTTCGTTACATGGAGTTACATTGCGATAAGGTGCAATAATTTACACGCGTCTCGCTGTTTTTACTGTTCCACACTGTCCCGAACTTTAGAACATCGGATTAGCGTTCCCCTGACGAACTCGGTCGGGCAAGCCATTGAAATATGAACGTTTCGTTTGTATTGCGATTTTTCAGTTCGCCAAAGCTAACGCCAAGTTAATCGTGGAAAAACTACGACAGACATTGAAACCGGTTTACAAAGAATTCCTACAGCTTTGCGAGCCAGCCCAATCAATCGACGGGGATGTTCGAGTCCTGCCGTACGAGAAACTCAGGTATACGTCGCCGTTTTGTTTCATTCAATTGCCTATGAGGCGAATAACGAAAGTATTCGAACGGCGTGACAGGAAATGATTCGTCACGTAAAAATCAAAAAATCCAATTGCAATTTGTTGAAACGCACGCTACTGCAGATTACGAATTTATGTGAGTCAGAGCATGCGGATAAGTACAGCAGGTGTTGATTCAGCACACTGAAATAAGAAGAAAACTTCGTATAAACATACGCCCGATACGACCATGTTCTCGAGTTACAGCTTATTTTGCGATGCTAGATGTTACTTAGATCAACGACTTCCTGGAAGATGGATATGTCGTGCTGGTCTTATTTCATCATCAGCTAGCTCTTCGCACCTGGACCCATTCGATTGTTAGTCACAGGAGCGTTTAAAGTGTCCTGTTTATACAACGTCGGTTGACAGTGTCGAAACTCTTCGTCAAAGTCGCCGACGAATCCGTATAAGCTGTTGGAACAGGTTCCACGATCTACGATGCGATGCATTCACGCTGCTACCGAAGCTGCACCTGACTACTTGGAGCGATTTTCTGGGTGGTAGCTAAGCGACTATAACGACACGAAACAAGCTGTTACTCGACAGTAAGGTCATATGGGCAGTTTGTAGGAACTCTTCTTCTTATTTTGGCGCGCTGAATCAGCTCCTGCCGTACTCCCCTCATGCTCTGATCCACCAAATCTACACACGTAAGATTAAACAAATTACACAACATTTATACTAAGCAACTGAGTACAAATAACAAAGATATGCGGAAGCTGTCTTTTAGAGTCCTTGCAAGCCCTCAAATAGACATTTTATAAGCCACGACCTAACGTGCTACCAATCTTTTTATTTGTATTATATAGCAGTTTTGTTACACCACCAAATACTATACTATTTATACTGTACTGTTACAATAATTTCATGAAAAATCAGGGAGGTCTTGGGCAAGTATATGGAAGGAAAAATAACAGAGCACGAAATAATCACGATCGCTCGACATTATTCGTCTCATGAGAAAAAAGAGTTTCATACTAGGGAATACATAAGGTAAGCAATCGTCGTTGGTAGAAACACCGACGTAAGATCGATTCAACATAGTAGGAATAATAATTAGACGTTTAACAGACAGTTAATGCATACGGAACTTTTGCGAACTTTGTGGAACGATCTCGATCGTTTGGAGGAGGATCTGCATCATTGGGACAGAGGAAGAACAGGGTTCTTGCCACGCCATACGTTGTACACTACGCTCCGTGCTGCCAGACTTCCAGTCGACGTGGAACTTTTAAATTCCATGCTTGATCAGTACGTATATAAGTGGAGATCTTGCTGCAAAAACCAAGCCAGTCCAAATTTTAAAAATTGCGGGAAATTTCGCAACTAAGGAATGCGGATTTTGTCATTAGTTGGTATTGATAAAATCCGCATTTCGTGAACTTTGCCAAATGGATGATAAATTTGTTCCTAAACAGATTTTCCTCTCGTCCAGCAAATGCTCGACGAGTATGCTCGACGTATTACGAATCTTACGTATCCTCGTACGTCTTTATGTATTTTATGTACATTTTAAGCAACCATACTAACATTTTGGATCTAAAAAGGCATTAGTATGACAAGTACATCGATTTTCCACAATTTTAAAGAATCGATAAATTGGAACTACATATATATAACTGTACGCAATAATATTACTTACCAATAATAATATAGCATTCACAAGAACGAAGAGGAACAACTGGACTATAATGACGTTCTAAAATTTATTAACGTTAAAGTGGATCCTCCTCCACCAGCGCCGCCGATAAACGTCAAGGTATTTTTTTTCTCGTTATTGTTTCACGCACCTTTTCTTCTGCAAATTTGACGAATGATATTACCTGGTAATGATACAATATGTAATAGCCAAGTTGAACTATACATTGTTTACGATATACACAATATTTTTTCTATATTTACTATTACTATACTTACTTACTATTACTTTACTATGTTTACTATTTCGATAATTATCTCCAATATGTTTTGCTTGAAATTCATTTACTATATTTTTTCTATATTTACTATTATTGTACTTACTTACTATTACTTTACTATGTTTACTATTTCGATAATTATCTCCAATATGTTTTACTTGAAATATATCCAGCACTGCAGCCAATATACCCATACAAATTTTCTGCAGGAAGTATGCACAACTTTCACGAGTTACTCTATCTATCACCTGAAACAAGATTCTCTTTGCATTAATCTTTTAGATTATTATCTCTTTCTAAACTTGAAAATTCATCTAGAAAGTTACAAAAAATTTAAAAAGAAGATGACACGTGAGAATAACAACAGTTATTCCCATAATTAAAATGGGTTTTGGCACGTCCTTTGCTTTTTTCTTTCTTGTCATATTGAACGACAGAAATTTATTAGCTATCTAAGCCATTATTCATGAATGTTTCAGACTGCACTTTGGTGGGCATCAGAAAAAGAACCGGACTGTGGAGCTGGTATAAACTGGTGTGTTTTCATAAAAGATTTAAATATTGTCGACGAAGAGACGAATTCAAACGAAAGCTCAAAGTCCCCAGAAATGCAAATCACAGATTGCAAAACAAACTATTGAATATTCTTATACAATAATAAGTCATTTTTGCAGAATTTTCATTATAGTCAACAATGTTATATACTTTAAACATGCACAGTTTAAATTTGCCTATAACGTATTTTCGATTATTTTACATAATTATACATTTACAATATCTCTCATAATTATTCAAACATCTTTTATACTCTGCTGCTGCCATAACAATTGATTAATATTGTTAATTTTATAAGTCAAATATTATTTTTCTAATTTTTTATTCTCAGCTCTTGAAATTCTTCTCTGACGGTTTCGATGTCCTTCTAATACAGGACATCGTTTCAAATACACGCGCGATACACGATTCTTACCAAATTTACAAATTAATAGAAAATTCGTGAGAATTGGAAGCGATATTTCTCATTTCCTCTTTGAAGTCGTTCGAATAATTACGTGGAATTTTGTACGTTTTTACTTTGATCGTAATTTATAACAATTTTTATGAGAAATGTATTTTATACCTATGTCAATTGCATGCAATGCAACGTACCGTGCAGATCGTAATGCGACAAAACGTGTAACGATCAACAGAGGTGAATAAAATCTGCTTCTCCGTGTCAAGTGATATTTATTGTAGAATATAATTTTCAATACAAACTACGTCGAATTCAGCAAATTATTTACATTGCGACTAACCACGCCTATGTCTAACATGCTGCTAACGGTGTTGTCTGGTTTTGCGCCTGTATACCAATATCAGTTTTTCATCGATGTTATTAATGTCTAATCTTTTCTCGTGCCTCAATATTTTGGAAAATGTTGACCGACAACACTGGTGTGCTATACTCGCAGCGTATCAAACACATAAATTTCAATAAATAGTAGACGGGATAAATAAGAGTTTCATCGAGTTTCCTTTTAACATTAAGTATTTTCTAATTACGTTTTCGTCATCGACGATTCGTTCGAGTAATCGACCATCACCAGCCTGAATCGTACATTTTCCACATTTTTCGATATAATTACACAACGACCTCTAAAAATAACTACAAATATGCGCTTCCAATCGCGATATCCTCCGATCGTCCCGAATTATCGCGACGATTAATCACACCGCGTAAGTTTCATGTTTTTAAACGCAATGGACAAGTTTGTCGTTTACAGAGTTGCCCGTGAACAGTTTACATGAATTCTTGCCACTTGAGCTTGATCAGGCTTCAATTCGAGGTTTCTACGAATCCGTGCATTCATTTGCACTCGTACGTTTTCATAACTTTTCTGCATGTCTTGCATTTGACGTAACAGCAGCTGATGTACTTGCAATCGCATCGCTCTAAAACTTCTTCCGTTTTCGTCACGTGTCCACGGCCGCAACAAAGGTACTCGCAACCTTCGTATCCGGTACTGCTGCCATTGCATTGCCTGAAAGGGGAAAATCGAACGTATTAGCGTTGCTTTACATCCTAATCTATATTAGTATTTTTCGTTTTATAAGGAAATAATAGATACACATTTTCTATTTTATGTTATTCTATATGAATTACGATCTACGTTGTTCTACTGGAACAACAACAACAACTGTGGGTTTATTATTTCCTTATGAAACGAAAGAAACTATTGCGACAACCTGATACTTTCTTCCGCGCAATTCCATTTCGCCCCATTATATCTATTTATATCTTTTTCATTCGATTTATATGTCATTCGATATGTTGTTCGATATATATGTATTTATATATTTAGTAGCTTGTAATTCTCACGCGTTTGTTTTAATAGGTTATTACGTTTATCATATCATTTGTTGCCAGTCGATTAAACGCGCTCTAATGTCACGACATCGGACATAAAGTTGGTATTTTAATGTCGCGACAAATATCATTGCACGCGTATACATATGCCAATTAAATTACGAGCAAATTGTCGAATGCCGTTTGCTAGGAAAGGAAATAAAAATACGTAGGATATCATTGAATAGAATACGTAAGTAAGACCGTATAAATTCTTCGACGGCTTTAAACGAAATCGTTAACGTCTCAATATTACCGGTTGATTGCCCGATCGTCGATCGCGCTTCCATAAAGATGCGCAGCCTGCGACACATTAAAAAGGGAAAAAGTCTGCCAAGTCACCTGGCATGTTGTTGCGGCCCACGTGTTTTTACACAGGCGTAGTGTTAAGAAAAAACGATTTCGAAAAGTATACGGTGAAATGGTCGAAGGCGTCCCGTAATAAACATTCACCACGCCTACTTTGTATAATTATACGGAGGGTTATAATTACCGGTTGTAAGCTGTAACCGGCAGGCCAGTCAGTGATGCCCAAAGAAACCAGGTACTATACATATATTAACCGGCACAGATGAAATATTAACATGTCCAGAACTAGCATCCGATTAGCTTACGAATTGCTCACCAGTTTGGCTCAACCGTTCCATTCTTTTCTTTTTTTTTCTTTCCCCCTAATCGTACATAGGGAGAAATAAAAAGAAATTAACGCGTTTTCTACGGCAGAACTACACGTAGGTGAGAGTAGTATAGTACCGACCACTCTCTAAGCTTTTGTGCTACGAACAGAGCTACTCTTGGTGGAAGTGGAACTTCGAAAGAGTAACTTGTAGCACAAGTGGCGCTTAATAAAAGGGAACAAGTCGTCTCATCGACGATCGACGTGGTAATCGAAGTGGTAAATTTCAACTTCAAGGTTACTAGCTTCACCGGAGCATTCTTCCTCGGGGGAACATTTTCTAGCAAATAGGTCGCCGACTATCGGTTTGCAGGACGCGTGAAACAATTTGACGAAGGATAAGTCGATAGAGAGGCAGCGACTCGACGTCGTATAGTGAAACAGCAAAGAGCAGAGATTTCGTCGAAGGCATCTGACCACGGAGCAGAAAAAGCAGCGACGTCTTTCGGTAAATGAACAATTCGTTCCAAAATTCATTCAGCTAACCACTGAGATAACAACCGACGTCACGAGCAGAAGGTACAGCTGCTGATTCGATGGGTGATTTACAGGGCGGGCTGAAGGGAACAAAGCATCGGAGCCAGAAGGGATGACCGCGTTGTCGCTGTATCTTCTGCCGAAAACCAGTCGCCGTTCCCGGGATGCCGTGGGTGATTTTAATTCACGAACATCGAGCCGTGAATAATTCAGGACGACGAAGACGCTGCTTTCGCGTGCTGCCGGAAAATCCGTAGCGAATGCAATCACCGACGAAAGCTCGCTTTATTCTTTCTTTCTCGCTTTATCTCGTGCCAGCAGCGATCGTTGCCCGAGCAAACCTTCGAGGCGGCCAGAATCCTCGCGATACTTCTTGTTAAGAATCATCTTTCGATGGATCTTTTTTGTCGGCGTAAATATCGTTAAACATTTGGCTACGAAAGCTGTGCACTACCCCGAGGAAACAGTTTCACGGCAGTTCGAGCGCTATGTCGCTCGTTTTCCTTCTATTCGGCTTTCTGTAATATACAGCGTGTCTGCGAAATCCCGGTACAAGCGGTCGGCTGGTGATTTCACGTGGAAAAGCAAGCGGAGGAAAAGGAACGACATTTTCTCGTCTAGGGTTTCGCTGTTTTTGATTCGCGATCGCCGACGACGACAATCGGTCGGCTGCACGTCGTCCACCTTGCGCAAATTGATACTCGTCGATTATGATTCGAATCGGACAACACCTGACAACAGAAGGTTCCTCGTTGTCGGTTCAACGAGCACGCGGCTTCGGCATTTAACCGTAAGCGAAGAAAGATTCCGCGTCGATAGCAGAGGGGCCGTAGAATCGTCGAAATATCGTAAAACAGAGGATTTATTCGGTTTAGAGAACAGGTTTTTCCATCGACCGGAAAAATCAAGTTCCGCCCTATCTGCAGGGTCTTCCCTCATAGGTAATTACCGATACAGTCGTATAAATAAGCGAGTATCCGATCACCGATACCCCGGTCGGTGATCCGACTATGCCGAAGATAACCGAGATCGAGCCGAGAAATTCGTTGTGTGTGGCTGTTGCACAAAAGCGAACAAGGCGAAGGATCGAGTCGACGTACAGGATGGAAGTATTTTATTAGCGCCAGGTAACGATTAGTTGACTAGCTCGGAGACAGAAATAAATGCCGCGATCGCCACGAATCGCGCACCGTAAACTCTTCTGAAATATCACTCGTCTGATATCTGCATTATGCATCGGATAGATATACAGGGTGTATCGTAACGCGTGGAATCCGCGTCGTAAGAACGCGTGTCCTGCCTGACCTTCTTCCCAAGTTACAGCCATTTTCGCGTTCCAGTAATCTGCGACTGCTCGCATAAACGCGTTAAGAACTTGCACAGAGAAGAGAGCAAGCAAAATGTATAGGTTTAAATATAGCTCTTACCTACGGAACAACCCTGGCACGAGTAAGACCATCGAGTAAACGTCGAGGGTGTTACATATTTTATTAACGACAATGCAAGTTGCAAACTGTGCAACTGGAACAAAGCGGAGACATTGAAACATACCGTGGTCAAGCGTCCTCGATATAAATCTAAACAGAATTCTCGACAGAGTACGAATATTACAAGTATCTTTTCTTTTCGAGAAGAAAAGCCAATAAAGGATACATACACGCGTATAAAATCGTGCATGGGATTAAGATCTTTCTGCGTGAAAGAATGAACAGGAAAATAAGCCAGGCAACGCAATAGGAGCAAACCGAACGAGGCTAATCCGGCAAAGTAGGTAACAACAAGAGACTACAGCTTTAACGAAACAGTTTATCCACTTTATAAACCTAAAACACGATGTATTTGTACCGTAAGTTTGTATATAAATATTACTACTATTATTAACCCATAAGTTCTTATCTTTGTAGCAGGTGTTCGAAATGGCCACCTTCGAAGTCTGTTTACAAACTTGCTATCGTCGCGTGAACAGAATAAACAAAGTACCACGATGAATGAAGAATTACGTCAAACACGTCACAGAAAGAAAGCAGAATGGGTCGAACGCTTGCCGAGGAACTGCCCGTGAATGGAACGTAAATAAAAACAGTAGGCAAATTAGGGAGGCGAACAGAACGCGCTACTTCATACAGAGTGTACAGTAGAGGTACAGTATACATCAACGCCGTATGAAACAGAGATGCAATGTTGCTTGTACATTTTTGCGACGTTATTAAATAGTTTCTTACTTTTACTCGCAACCCACTTATTACCGAAGCTTACAACGGGCGAAAGCCAAACGCAAGAACAATAGTAATAAAGAAAATATTTACGAGCAGCTCGTTCATTTTTACGACACGCGTACCATTCTTCTGTGTCCACGCAAACAGATAAACGAAGATGCAACGAAGCGTCGTTGACTGGCTGTCGTAACGTAATTTTACGATTCTTGATACGCTTGATTATCGCTGAATTTCCATTCTTTTCTTCCCCGTAAAGCATTTTCTCCGTAAAAAGGATTCGTTACCCATTACGTTCCTTGAAAATGAAAAAGATCATTAGTAGTATTCGCTGTTACGTGATCTCGTTCGTAGTAACAGCTAATCGGTTGATCAACGCCGATGCATTCGTTTCTATACGTTCAGTGTCTTTGAAAATATTTAATGAAATTCTAATTAAATCATCGCATAGGCATATATACATGGCGGTACGTCGAAAACGTTCTCCGTCGTTTCCCTTAAATGTCGTAACTGTCTTTAGCCGTCAGGGTGTTATTCCTGACGGTTGGAAATATTACGACCAGTCGAAAAAAGAAAAAGTCAATTACTTATATTCGCCAATTATTCAGAAAGGCTTACATTTCACAGAGAATTGGCGACGAGAAAATTAATAAGACGATCAACGAGAGAATTAATCGCTTCGGATCCTTTTCAACGGGAAACCTTTCCCCTCTAACGAGAATTCTACGAGATAAACGAAGGCTAATCTCCGTTGGAGAAGTTTTACCAGCGTTCCGACACCTTCTTCTTTATTCTTGCCTCTAGCCTGCAACCCTAGCGTATGGCTGTTGCACGAGACGATACTCGTTCACCACGGTAGATACTTCAAATGCATTGCTTTCAGCGGATTATGTAACCGGTCGTGCACCGTGCACGCGTATGTCACCGGATTTAGCGATGAAATAAATTAGCCTACGTTACGTGTCATTGATATCCATTCTAGATGACGTTTATCGATGTAAATCTTCTCGCGAGGGTTGCTCGATTTTTCCTTTAAATTAGCCGACACGTGCATTGGCCGCCGGTAGAATCGAGAGATAAACAGCGACGATATTTGTATAAATTTGTTATATAATACCCAGCACATGCACAGGGTGTCTCGACTAAACGGGATCACCTAAACCTCTGATACCTTTCGTCTCACTGGTATTACGGCGGTTGCACAAATTTCCACCAACTCTTACGCGGGACCGGATCCCATAGTTTAGGAAGAATACATCGAATAAAAGATCACGTCGACCGGAATAAACAGATATGCAGAGTTCTATTTAAAAGAATACCGATAACCTTGTAGCCTTCTCAAGAAAAAGAAAATTGAGAGAAGATTGTTTCCTCGTAAGTAGTCCAACTTTGTCCTGAGAAGCTTCCTTATACGATCGTAAACGAGGCAGATATCTTAGGCGATTTCGTTTAACTGAGACAACCGTGTACAACGATTATAGGTAACGCTGCAACGTAGTAGCATTGAATTTTCTATTGATAATACATTCTTCTGTAATACGAACGGTATGAATAATGTAGTTTGTAGATTGATCTTTTTGCTGTTCGACTGACAGCATATTTACGGAGCTCAAAGCATCGACAAAAAGTACAGTAGTTTATCTCATCGGAAAATGGAGATTTTGTTAGACACAAGATATCTCAAGCTTTTTCTGCTAAACGGTGTTAGAATATTTTTTACTTTGGGTCGCTTTAATATTTTTTACGCACGCTTTTTTACACGAGTAGATAATTTTGTAGTGCTATTTCAACTTTGAAAACACGTTCGCGGTTAGGTTTGTAAAGAATTTTATTTCGTGCATCGTTATAATATACAACAATTGCGCACTTTGCCTATCTACAATTGCACGTAACACGAAAGGACGTCTGTGTTACGATATTGTACAATATATGCGTAATTGTATCTTTCTACGTCAAATGCATCAAATGAAAATTAACATTCTTCGTAATTGTATTATTTTCATGAAAACCGCACGAGCATTAGCCTTCAAGATTTTACTGAGAACAAAATTTACCCGGCAAACATTGATACGCGCGAACAATTAACGCAAAAAATTAGTAGCGTACATTCCCCGAGGCTGTAGGGAACGAGCAAGACATTCCCAATATAAGAAACATATCGTTTCCTACAGATGTGAAGTCCTGTGATGTGAAAATCCCGTGTTCGTAAAGGCAATCAATATTTACGTACTGTGAAATCGAACGAATACAAGCGTCAATTTACTTTTACGCTTTCTCGACGCTTATTTCGTATATCTCCCTTCGACTTCTTGGCAAAATATTTATTATTTCTGTTCATCGGATACTTCCATCAGGCCCGTACATCTATACGAGTGCATCGCTGCTACAATACTGTACTACAATACGCTCGAATGGAAAACTCTGGTACACCCCGTACGTGTAAGATTAATATCCCACACGAATCTATTTTAGAAGCGAAAAATATCGTTACATATGTAAGCATATTTGTATTTCGATTTTGCCTCTTAATACGAGCTTCTGACAAATGGAACTACCGTAATGAATTCCACTCGGCTATCTACAAGATACTTGTTGTACGTTGTACATGTACCTTACTAACGAACTGAATAAAGTCGCTGACAAATGTAACGAGATAACACCTGACTGCGTTGAAAGGATAAGGAAATCAATGGCAAGGTGGTCGCGATCCTATATCAAAATGCAAAGTCATTTTCAAAGCAAAGCTACTTCCTGGCCTCCTTACGCCACCTCTTGCGGATAAAGATACACAACTTATCTTTTTCCATTTTCCCTCTTCTTTTTCCACGCGCGTACTTAACGATTGCGTTTATTTGCCGAAGAAATGGGAATTAGCAAACGCGTATCGGCGATCGAACGAACGCAAGTTAAGACTTGTATTTTGAGCAATATTCTTATATTTCAGAACGCGAACCATACGTACAAAGTGTACAGGCTAACGTAAGACGACTTGAAGCTAAAAAGTTCACTCAGATAAGGAGAGCGTATTAAAGGAAATGTTTATACAATATTTCTCACGTAGTATTAAAACGAATCTACGTCTGCGTCGTAAATTCTGATTATATTTTGCATTAATCGGCTATTTTTCTAGATACATTCTACTTATGTAAATGTACAAGTGTATCGATATATTCTTACGAGTTGGCTACAGGGAAACTTGGTACATTATGTAATGCAACATTCACGAAGGATCTGGATGCTTACTATTTATTACTATTCACAAAGTATTTCGGCTACTAGGAATTCGATCGATCACAATCGCTATCGACGACAGGCGTAATTTAAGCGACAGTTCAATTGGATTTGTGCCAATCTATAGGCAATGCTACGAAAGAAGCGGATACATTTCTCAATAATAATTTACGAGTATAATCCATTTGGAAGCTTAGAAAACTAGATACATGAGATTTCTCCGAATTGGCAGTAAGCGTGAAGCGTGCTAACTAGATGTTTGTGTACTTCTTTCTACGTGAAAGGAAAGCGAACCACTTATAATAAAATATGATCCTGTGTCAGGCTCGCAAATGATAAAATATCCTTAAATCCGTTGAAAGTAAAAAATTTCTGGATATATCGATCAACGCATTTTAACTTACTCGTGTCTAACTCGTACCTTACTGAAAAGAATTTAAGGCAGATATATAATGTCTCTTTCTCATATTTCTTTCGCCTAAATAATACAGAAAATAAAATACTGCACGATACCAGAAATGACAAAGGACAGCCAGGATAAAGGAAGACATAAGGAGAACAGTGAATTCCTCGTACAAAATCAAATACAAAGACCGGAAAGAGCTAAGAACGTTGAATACTGTGCACGCATGAAATAAACCTTCGAATTAGAATCAAAGGAACCCTGTCGCAGATAAGATTGGCAGGAAGAAAACAATGGAAAGTCAACAGACTAAAAAGCACGATATATAAACGAAGAAGGGCAAACATGTGACAAGATAAAACCAGAATCAATACCAAAAATAAAAATACCCAATACACAGGGAACTTAGACGAAAAAGACAAAGGGAACTTAGACAAACAGAAACGACAGGCAATCGAGAAGGATTTTGTAAAGAGCTCGTTTGGAACCATGCTTTAATTACTAGTAATAATAAAGATACTGGAAGATAAAATTGAAAATTTAGCCTATAATGGCCAACGTTGGTAGGAAAGAAAGTACAAAATCGTGATGCAGCGTTGCGACACAAACGTTCTGTATCTTTACTTAGAAAGGAGTTGCTGTGCACTGTAACTTCTAGAATTGCATTCAACTATCTTTCTTCTAGTTTTGTAAGGATTGAGTTACTCGTACAAAATGTCCATGTTCGTGAAATGTTGGTGGAAAGTTAGACGTGAAAGGAAGGATTTGAGAAGATTAGCCTGTAAAGTGCACTCATGTGTATCGCATAGAACGTTTCAGATATTCCGTATATTCTTTATCGCTCCATCTACTGTACATCAATTTATCGATTTGTTATTAAACCGTTGGTGTTTCTGCTTTGAAAATATAGCAAAATATGCAAATCCATAGACCTTGGATATTTATGCAATTTCATACTTCTAGGAAGCTAACTATGAAAATGGAGTCTACGTGATCTGTATCAGCTACTAACTAGCATAATAAATATTTTACTTCGAATACATTAGATATCTCTGAACATTATGTGCATCCTATGTCTTTATGCATATTTAGATTTCCAGTAAGCTCATAAACATCCACAATCTTCGAATAAAATATGCGCGGAGGCATATGCAGAAATATCGAGAATACGATAATACACAAATTTTTATTATTTAGGCACCATGATTATAGTTTGGATTACAGTAATCTACGATTGTATAATTAATCCGTAACCTTTATCAACTAGAATTTTGAATTTCTCGTACTGCTGTACGATATTACGACGTGACGAAGACACGCTTGATCCTGCTCCAGCTGCGTTATTCAGATCATTTGACTTCTTCGTTTATTCTATCAGAGATTTTCCACCTTGAGATCACAGTTCGGTCAGAATCGCCCGTGGCGTGAGAAGAAAACGCGACAGCGAAGCGTCTGTCATATGGGCGAAACAATCGCTTGCAAACCACTATATAGCACGAAACCGGTTCTACGATATTAGCGAAACAAATAAAGAAAGAGAAGCGTGATTTACCTGCCGACAGTTCCAAGACTCCCCCTCTTCTTGTCAGGAAGACAATAGTCCGGGCTTTTCGTGGTGTACAACAGATTATCGTGATGATATAGAGGCGGTAGCCTGCCTCCTGACCTCGGCCGAACTTCCGCCGCAGTTGCGTATCTCCGAAGCAATCGACTTCCTGCGGCTGCTGGCCCCGAAGAACCAAGACCTCTCCAACAGGTACGCACGCTGCACGACCCGGAAACTCCGTGACATTTGCATTCCAGGGTCAAGGATTGTTCCACTGCCTTGTAACGATTAAATACACAGAGATCACATGTGAATTCTGTTGACTTATGTATCTCTTATATTTTATTTGAAGCGTACGAACGAATAATTGAAATTCCTCAGTGAGGCTTGGAGTTCATTTAAAGAGAGCAGATACAGCGAATTGCTCGATCCAAGTATTTGCTTCTCACGGGGAAGCTTATATTAGCGCGGAAAGATGCTGCGTATTTTCGACAAGATCCAACAGCTCGCTTATTAACACGTTAATACGGTAATTTAGTTTGCCGTGTATCAGTTTTTCCTTTCGTTTTCGATCTGTTCTCGTTTCTCACATTTTTGATCCAGAGTACAGTTTCTACGTTTCTAATTATGCTCTGAAATATATGAATTTACGTAAAGATCCACAGTCTAATAATTACCACGTATTCCTAAAGCCGAAAAAGCTACACAAACGAAACGTATAATGGCGAAATGATTATCAGCGTGGATGCGAAACGAATGGAAATCCTCCGTCTTCCTCTTGTTCGTCGCTTTAAATTAATACGATTATTTCAATTACCCTTCGACCCGCCCGGTTGTTGTGCATGTTAACAGCGTGCATAAACTTCGCGGTTGCACCTGTGCCAGGAGGAGTGGCGCCTTGGAGAAATCTCTTGGCCATCCTGGACGCGGATCTAACGTCGTCGCCGCAGCCACCCCATTTGAACGAGTTCTTGGCAGAAAGCGTGCCGAACGAGAGCGACGTGGCGGTGAAGGACGAAGGTGAAATCAAGGCGGACGGTGACGGTGGCTCTCTTCGTGGTGGAGTGGCGCAGGAACAAGCCGCTAGACTGCCCAGGGCGCATCCTCTCGCTAGCCTCCAAACAGCAGCTGCAGCCGACATAGCATACACGAATGCTTGTTCTCTGGTTCCTGTTACGGCAGATTGCAAAATATGTTAAGAGTTCTCTCCTCTTTTCTTCCGCGGAGAATTCTACAGGCCCTTTAGCTTTGACTCTATCTGATTTAATTTTCTAGTTGCTCTGCCATCTCATTGTAAGATGATCTTAAATGGAGCAAGGTTTGATACGATTTTTCGTTAAGCGTAACCCAATACTTACGACAGTGTACCTTTCGAATAAGCATAATCAATTAATTAAAACGACTCGGTATCCTGATTCGTTGCTTCCATCCTCGTCGCAAACGAAACCTTGCCCAAGCCTGTTCGAGCTGGTGAAATTCGTTATAAACTCCCGATAAATCCGGACTTACAAAGAAAAAAGGAACGAGAGAAGAAGAAAGCTGAATGAAAATGTAGCAAGCCGAACGTTCTCTCTTGCAACGGGCATTGTTCGGATTGTCCATTGGCAAATTTGCTTAACAAGCTCGCGTTTAATTCTATTTTCGTTACATAAGAAGCTTTGCCGAGGCTGCTGCTAAGAGCAAAGGTCTTCCGATGAATTGGGTCGAAGGTCGAAGCGACGACGCTGCGATTTTCTAATAAGAAATCTCCGAGGCGGGCAATTAACGTGGCAAGAAGTCGAGTCTCTCGAACGGCCCCGAATAAAATCGGTAATGGCACGGTCCGTGGTGCCTTTAGAGGTCGCCATTCACGGTCTCTCCTCCAGCCGGTTTGAAATAATTGAAGGAAAGCTGATTAGCATAGCGGCAGCGAAAGGGCGGCTTTTCCGCGCTCCTCCGATACGTATCGAGCAACAGTGTGTTTTTCATCGCCACTGCGAATCTCACGGGCCGAAGCTTCTCGGTTTTCTCATTAACGAAGGATCGCTTCTCTTGCCCCGAGGGGAACACTTTTATTTACAATATATAATTATCGTCAAACGGCCAACAGTTAATCCGACATTCGCTGGCAACCGCCGCCAGAAAGGAAGGAAGCAGCAGCTTTGATAATGACCACTAATTGAGCCGCTTCTTCGAGGCCTTCCTATTTAACCTGATACGCTTCGCGGGATATACGATCCTCGTTTTCAGGCTCGTTTGACGTTTCTAGCAATAATTTTTCATTCTACCGAGGCCCTCAAAAAAGCTTTCGCAGAAGAGCACAAAGAATCGAACGTCTTGTTCGAGGGCATCTAATCCTAATTTATTCTCCTCTTCCGTTTAGAAACATCGATCGCTCAGTGGAGCCTGAACTTTTCTAATCCGATGCAGCAGCTGCGCTTTCGAATTGCAGCGTGCTTAAGAAGTTTCTTAAATTGTACGAGCGTCTTTGCTCGAGGCAAACGATTACTCGAAGGCTGATTAGAAGAAGTGGCTTCTAGCTCTAACTGCGTCAGCTTCGTTGAACGAGAGAGGAATTTTTCTCGAAGCTACGCAAGTCGAGTAATTGACGCTTTTCTACTCTAGACTTTTTAGTTCGAATTAATTCCCTGAAAAGTTTACCTTTCTTCGTTTCGTCGCTTTTCTAGGAAGCTAACACGACAGTATGAAAGGGAAATAGGGATTATAGAATAAGGATCTTTCGCAGGAATGGACGACTTTGCGCGGTTCCACTTTCATATTCGTGTAAGTTCATATCTAGGAAGCGATTTCCAAGAACGATAATACGAATAACTTCCAAGTGAAAGAGAAGGATTTAACGTTGGCGACATGTTCGTGTCAACTCGCGAATGTTGTTCACTTTCTCTGATCAGCCAGTTCATGCATTAACGAAACAAATACATTACGACAGCTCGATGTATCGCCCCGAACCGTATCGAATCGTCGTCGTGATTTACCTACGCCTTTGACAGAATTTAGTATGCTAAATATTACAGTCAATCAGATATATATATATCCATATACGTAATCGAAGGATTTTCAATTAAATTCCTGGAACCCAATAAGTTACAGGACATGGATATTTCCACGGAGATAAAGAGACACGTTGTTTGCCATATCGTGCCATGTTACGTAACTTTATCTTGTTTGATCTAAAACGTAGAAAAGTTCTATACCTTAAAATTCCATACAGTATTTATTTATCGCATCTAGAAATTTTTCTACGTTTTCTAAGATGAAGTGAAATTTATGAGAAAGTAAACGTTAAGCAAACACGTAAGAGAGTATCGTGCTTCGCGAGCATGTACATCGCGAATTCTGGTTTTTCGCTCGTTATTACGTTCGTGATCTTGAGCGATCTTAGACCACCATAGTCACGATCTTCTTCAAAAGGGCTACACGATCGTCTGTGTTGAGAAGTACACGGTTCCGTTGAAAGAAGACGAAGATAGCCTCCAAAACTCCTTCGATCACCATGACCAATGGCTCGTTCGAAATCGAAAGTTTCTTCTTATTTCAAAAATCGAAGGAGAAGAATTAAGCTTAGCCGACTGTTCAGCCACCTTAGAAATGCATCCTCGACAACACCATCGTCCTCTCTCTTCCAACAATTCCTCCCAATTTTCTCGACGCTCTGTTTCAACCGCGTTTCATATTTCAGCAAGCATCTACGACTCGATATCCCTTTTCGCGTCAATGTCTGACGAAATAGAATCTTAGATGAGCCGGGAGGGCAGCTTCGTGACTGGCCTCCGCGGTGTTAAACAAAAGGTGTCGAACATCCGACATAGAACGTACCGGTAAGCAATTCAGGCGTATAATCCGGCGCACGCTCGATGCTGCTGCAATTCCACCTACGATGTCGAAATGCTTGCTGGCATACCGTCGATGTATCCCTGGCCGCTTGCACCAGGCTGGCCATAACGTCCGGCGTCGCTCTGCACGCCCTTGCCTGCTTCCTCTCCAAAAGGCCGGAGCTTTTCGCGCTGGTGCAGGCCTCCCTCGTCCACGTGTAGCCATCCCCGGTACGACCGAGAGCCCTGCAATTAAACGGCTCATGAGACGTCGATGATACGTTCGAACGAAAAGGGCAGCACGACTGCTCGATGCTCTAAAGTTCTGCTCCCGCTGAAGCAACTGCGAGTAACTTTTCGTCGTCCGAAACAACTTTCCAACAACGTTCTGTTCACACGGAAGAAACGTAATCCTGGGAACATTTAGGTTTCGTTTTAGCAACGTTTGTTCATTTATGTCCGTCACGTTGCCAATCGAGTTAAAACTTTCGAAAAGGGAAGCTCCTTTTTGGATAAATAGAATTTACTTGCTCGTCAAATCTTTGCGACAAGGATAGAGAATGCGTATGTCGCTCCAAATTGAACGATAGCAGGCAATACGTCGAAGGAACGCGCCGTCGAAAGCGGAGAAGCCGAGGATAACGTATTAGAGTACTCGTCCAACCCCACCTACGTTTACCAAACGTTTTCAACCTTGCAATACCCATCCACGCCCGAACGATGGTCACTCTCCGCGTTATAGCCTACTAGCCATCCACACACGCGAGAAGGGCTTCACCCTCCATCGTAAATCCGCCTATGCCCAAACAACTCTTACCCTCGCTACGAGTCGACGTCCTGAATCGAAGGTCGAAGGACGAAGAGGTCACGCGGTCAATTTTTCAAAGAACGAAAAGCGAACGATTAGATGCGACGACTGGTTCCAAACGTCACCTAACAGAATAGCTGGATGATAGCAAAATGTGAACATATTTATTGATTTTATCGCTATTACTTTGTATAATTAGTATATCATTGCGATACGTAATAATACGACGAAATAAAACGACGGGATCATCTTTAATATCCACGTGTATACGCGCATAGCATAAAATAAAGTTTAGCGGAAGCATACGCGTGCTCGGACCACCCCTACGTAGCTCCCGGTCGCGTCCGGTAGCGACAGGCTCTGAGGTGACCGAGGACGACGTTCGAGTGCCCGACTAACGGTTCGCGGCCAATGAAACAGAGCGCGCCGAGTTTAAGGAAAGGAAAGAAAGGCCCCTTGATACCAAAAAATTCTGCGTCGTTGAGTTTTCCCTTAGACAGTCATCGATCGCTTCAACCGCGATATTTCTCAAGATTCGACGACTTTACGATGCTGTTGTTGTATCGCGACATAATTTTCCTGTCCTCGATGCTCGTCTTTCCGCGAGCCTCGCAATCTACTTGGCTTCGCTCGTGCCTCGCGTTTATCCTACGACGAGTATCTCCGCGCGGAAGCGGCGTAGGACGCAGCGAGCGAACGAATCTCGTAAATGGAAACTTGAGGTTGAAATTCACGGAACGGAGGTGGTTCTATCGGACGGTGAGTCGTTCGCGCCACGGTTCGAGCAGAGGGCCGTAAATCAGGGGTGAATTTCGAAAATTATAGGGCGTGAAGCTGAAAGGTGGCTTTAAGCGGCGCGGGTGGATACGTGCGCCGCGGCGCAAACCGTACCGAGGATAATTACGGACACCTGAAAGTCGAAATGGCTCGGGCACGGGATACGTCTAGACGTAACAGCCCTGGGAATGGCCGGCTCGCCAACCCCGTGTCAGCAGCCTACCCTCGAAATTACCCTATCAAAAGGCCGTACCTCTAATTCATTATTCCGTCGCCGACCGCTGCTGTCGTTTCCAAGATGCCATTCGCGTTATGTGCTCGTCCCCGTTCATGACGCTCATACACCGGGACAATCGTAAATGCTCGCGTTCCCCATTTCTGCGAGGATTTACGTCCTCCTTGGCTTCGATATCAACCAGGCATCCCCTCCTTCTTCGTCTGCCACGCTCGTTTAACGATCAACTCGCTGCACCAAGCCTCGTTTAGATTAAACAAGTTATACGAATTCGAATTAACGTTATACCGCCTCACGAAAGTAGTCGAACGCTTATCGCGGCAAATCGAGTTTATGCCGGTGTTTATGCAGCGTGTGCCGGCTGACGCGACTCGTTATTTCTCCGCTTTTCGCGACGATGTCCACCTTACTACGAATGACGACGAAATATTCCCGAAATACTTTGTTCTTACAGCGAAACCGAAGTTACTTATCTTGTTCGTTCTATTTTTTCCTTTAGAGGGGGCTAGGTCGGGGTTCTAGAGATTTTAGGACAAATTCAACGAAGCATATCACGTGATATTCTTATTAACTCGATACCAGGTTTTCAGTAAGCTTCATTTTAACGCCTGATCGAATTTCATTGCGCAATGGCATATTCTACTCTTTTGCAGAAGTTTGAGCGAGTTGTCGTTGTCAAAGTGGCTGGATGTACCAATCGTACGTAGAAGATCACGTAATACGCATTCTTGAAGTTGTCCTACAGTCCCCTACAATCTGGTGAAAAATAGTTCCAAGATCTGACAATGTTTTTCGACGTAAGATCTCAAGAAACGTTCAGATGGCCAATATTATCGCCGATGTTTAAAGTACTCGACATTGTATCGACGATAACGTTGAGAATCTGAAATATTGGCAACAATATCAGTCATATAAACGCTTCTTAAGAATATTCTGAAAACGTGTGTAATTCGCTGAAACGTTAAAACGATAATGTCTAGTGAAATTACTCTTAAGAAGGAAAGAAAAAGGAAAGATGCCGTGTTATATTTGTGCGAGGTTATTTATCGCCTTATGCGAGAGTGACACGCACCACGAATGAAAGGGGACTTTTTTGTCAATGGAAAAAGAAGGAAGCGAATTTATTTCACGCGTCAAGCGCTTCGGAACGGAACCGAGGGACGCATTCCTCACGCATGGCTCATTAAATTCACGCACACTGAAGTAAGGACGCGCACGAAAGACCAACCGACCATGTTCGTGCGCTGCTCGCCAAATTGTTTGCCTAATTTTTCATCGTCTCCTCGCAAAAAGATAAGTAATTCCAGTGGCCATTGAACTTCCTCCGATTCTGGTTTCAAGCTACCGGTATAATCAGAATTCATCGGAAGTATATATTTAAAAAACTCGAAAAATGCTCTCGAATAATGCATTTTATATCTTCTTCGATTTAAAAAAATACGATAAATATTTGGTTGCCCCAAAAGATTCTTTCGTTTTACAAGGAAATAATAGACGCGCGACATCTTTTGTTTTAATGCGAACGAAACGTATCCTACGACAGCTGGAGGACGATTAGGTTAAGTTGACTACACGACGACAGCCAACCGGGCTTGTAGAGGTTAGAAAAAGTTTCGAATAAATAATACTGTATCCAAAGACATGTTCCAAGTGTAAACCGAGCAATAAACTATCGTATTATATACAAATAAAATTATTAGTAAGAATGTCATAGATAATATAGCGTATATCATAATTTTGATATGTATAGAGATATTGAAAACTTAATTTGTTTCTGATTGCAGTTTCATATAATTATTTCGTGATACTCGTATTTCATACTTCTTTTATATTATCTCTTTGTTTTGTACGTACCGTTAAAGCCATTCTCTTTCTTGCAAAATTGAAAGACAACTGAGACATAAAAATTAAAGTAGCTGCTCCACATCGGCCTAACCACTTTTCATGCAAAGCTTCAACGTCGTGATACATTTTCTTCGTGTTTTTATTTACGTACATATGTATATAGAAGTGCATCGCGTTTGGCTGCAGGCTTCGAACAAACTAAGAGAAAGATAAGAAAAATTACAGGCATTGGTGCAACCTAACGGAAACAAATTCAAAGGAAGACAGATTCGGCGTTCAACAAACGACACTTGACAGATTTTCCGTACAATTATGTAAATTGCTCGTCTGAAACATGCTGCTTGATAGGCAGCAATTATTTTAATGCGAGTGTGAGGTTTGCTTTCGATTAGTTTCTTTTTTTTCATTACAAAACATGATTGACAGAACTAAAACAAGCAGCCTGCAGTCCTCGTCAATTCTTCGTTCCATTTAATTATAAATTGTAAATATATATGAAATAATTTTTAATTAAAAAAAAATTTTTTTTTAGATAATAAAATAATTCGAAGAAAAATCAAATGCTTATTCAAAGAAACTAACGCATAATCATTGTAAAAATAACATCCAGCCAGATGAAATAAATATTACTTAAACCACTATTTGTCAAATATTTTACTTAAATAACGTTCAAGTTAAAAACTGCTCTAACACTTTGTTAATTTTCTTCTTCTTAAGCATATTCTGGCGTAATAAATCAAACAGCATATTAACAGAACATTCTAGGACATAAAGGATACGTGCAATTGGCTTTCTCAATTTCGATAATGAAACGTGCGTTGATAAATCATTCGCAGTGGTAAATACTACGACAGAAACTGTCCGATATCCAATTTGCAACGACCGCGCTTAGATTTGTTACGAGTTATTATTCACGTGCGGCGTATATCATGTCGGTAACCATTTCAATTAGCCAATGAACGCATTTTCGAGGCACTTTCAACAATCGCGGCGAGGTCTTGTCTCGCGAGACCACCTAGTACGCAACAAGTCCGACTACTTGTAGAAGGTGTCACGAATGAAGAATATATCGTTTGCCATTCATCTTGTTTCTTCGCAATCACTGAGGTTTATATTGATGTATCTACCTCCTTTAAGAGAGCCGTGTTCGGTTTTACGTTACTTCGCAAAGCGTACAGCGTCGTTTATAGAATGGCTTAAAAAAGTATTCGAACGCTCTAAGAAACTTTTTATGCGTACGGGAGAGTCGTACAGCACCAGTTGTTCTCGCTTCTACCGTTAGTTAACTACGCTACAGGTGGAGAGTTAAATGCATACTGGTATACTTTTCGATATTACAAGAGTTCTAAGACGTTCACGCTGGTCTTCCCTACGTAGTCTTCAATTATCCAAATATTACAATTATTCGGCTAACGCTATGCAAATTCCCACGAATATTACCACCCAATCTCAGCATTCTGTTAAACAGCAGCTTAATTTTCTCGAAAACCGACAACGAGCGTGTCCAATTATAATAACCAGTTTACCCGCTAAAACGCGAGACGTAAACGCGACGACGTGAGCGAATTCGTGCGAATAATCCGCGTGGAAGGTATGCTACCGGTTCGCTCGTTTCCTCGGAATCGATCGGCAGCCGCGAGCTTTCTCGCAAAATGCCTCCTAAATTATAGAATCCTAAATTAGCCGGGTGGAAGAAGAAAAAAAGAAAAGAACGTACCCATAAATTGGAGGAGATTTGGCCGGCCTCCTATACGCGATCCATTACGTGGAAGAGTGTATAAGGACAAGCTTATACTCCCGAGGAAGTTCATGGTCGTTCACGGGTGTGTACATTCTTATGAAAATGCGGCGAGCTTCAATAAAACTCCGTGATGTACGTTTCGAAACGACCGAATGGACAAGTACCTCCGATGTCGGATGCAATTTCGAAATTCGTTTTGACTGGTGGAATCGTAAAGTGGCGTTTTTACGGGGCTGATAATAGGTCGGCGCCTACGATTCCCAACCGAGGACCTCTCGTGTGCGGCCACCAGCTCGTTTTCAAGCGAAGAGGAAACGAAACTGAAGTAGCCCTCGAGTTCCGTTAATATTACAATTCCGGATGCAGTCATTTTCACTCTTTATAGTTCTTTAATCTACCTCGTTATCTACACTGACTCACGAAGATATTTGGACATTTATCATAGAAAACATTCGCATTGTACGCCTTATATAAAACATTTTGGAAAGAAGATATTAAGAAATGGCCGTTTATGTAACTCCTTGCGAGTGTAAAATTCTTGCACAACGTTTAAGAATATCTCACAAAAGAATATCAACACAAAATGTTCAGCACATATCTGAAATATGAAAGTGAATGTTAATTTGTATAATATAATGGGTAATTGACTTTCATGATTTCTGTGAAATACGCATACTTATACTAAATATCTTTCAATTTATATCCGTTTTAGTACTTGCGTCTTAATGTTTGTGTCAAATCTCATAACAGTGCTAATAAAATTTTAGGATGTATCGTATAATGCACATAATGTATTCATAAAAGGTGTCTGCAAGTATCCAAATACTTTTAAGAGCTTGTGTATAATTGTTATTCTTCTTACATTACTCCTAATTTGGAGAATTTTTTATGATCAAACATTGAAATAGTATTTCAAAGTTGTATACAAACTTAGATGAAGTAAGATTAGGTTTTATCAAAGTACAAAGTACATTTGTTCAAGTTTCACAAAATTATAGTATTTACATAGAAGGAAAAAATAATAACGATGAAAAGAATATTAGGAACTTCTTGGAATCCCTTCTCAGAGTCATAATATGAATTTAATAGAGTTTACAAACACAATATATACAAATGAGATAATAAAACATGTTAAAGAAGATAACTTGAACATTTTCAAGTAAACATTGTGAAGTATTACACGATAAAGAGATACAAAGTAGAAATTTTCAATTTTACATCTTCATGGTGATTAGATGACATATTTCTGGTTCTTTAGGTTTCAATTATGTTTCCTCAACACGTTATTATATCATAAAAGCCATCAAACTTAAACATCAAGACAGACCTCTAAATTCACAATGAAAATTTTCTAAAAGTTTGTACTTTTGCCAGTGGAATACCACAAATGGATTGTTAAAGAATGTCATTGTCGAATCTAAGAGATCGTCTATCTGCAAATTTGACGGCTTTTATTAAACAACGTATTAATAGAAACGCGATTGAGATCCGAAGAACCAGAAATATATTATCTAGTGATCATGCAAATTTGAAATCTGCAATCTCAATTTTGTTTCTCTTTACCGTGTAATACTTTTGAATTTTTCGAGTTTAAGTCGTATATCTGCACTTGCTAATTATCCTGTCACTACCTGCTTCATAAGCTCTTTCCCGCCACGCACAGTTGCCTTCTAACCTAACCTCGCTTTTCTTCCTTATGTTTTTTCTACTTACCTCCTGCTTCCTAGTATAGAATCTATCTTTCCGCCTTTCCGCAATCATATTCGCTGTTTTTTGCATCCACTTCTAGCTTGTATTCCCTTTTTTTACCCTATCTATCTCCTTAATTATTCAACATTTATACTTTATCCACGCACACGACTGTACACACTATACACACGGTACACACTATACCGTTACATATACAATGTATTAATAAAACTATGATTGAAACCCGATAAAAAATTGTAAATGTGACAAAGCTGAAATTATCTTGTTGTAGTTGAATATGCTAATAATTCGTCTTATTTTACGTATTCAGAGAAATCAAGGTGAAAATACATTTGAAATATCGTAATTCTCCATATTCGGTAGCAATCGATAGTATCGATACTTTCATCGATGAACGTCCGTTACGTTTGAGAATTCTTGTGGGAGGACCCGTGCGAAGATATACATTATAGATTTCTAAATTGGTTTTGACATATAGATCATAAAATACGATGTTTACAAGCTTGATAATAGCCCGGGTTTCCGAGGTTCTTTGAATACTTAAAAACCGATTACCTATAAATTTGTGAGCCCATAACTATTTGATGTCTCAAGGAATTCTGCCGCCATTGGGATCGACCAACGTAAATATTAATATTCTTCTATAAATTAATTAATATAGTTGTCCAGGATAATGTTATTCACTTTTAATTATATAAATACCCATACGTTCTTACTGAAGCTTGTTTTCATAAAATTTACACTTTCGTATATATATGTATATATATATATGTGTGTGTGTATATATATATATATATACACAAATCTCTTACAATTAAGATGGCTGCTTATTCATGATGTATAATATTTTTTTACCAAATATATGTATGCAGCAAATATCTTGTAGTTTCTATATATATTTTTAGATCAGCTGCAAATTGTACCAACACATATAATCATAGCAGTCCTGTCCCACTGGGGTGATAATGAAGTTTCAAAATGTTGTATATAACATACACAATATGCACCTAAAAATTTCCTGTGGTGAGTCTTCAAATAATTTCATAAGCTATCATTATACGTAGAAATCTATCTCATCCTCTAAATATCATAGCAAATACATTAACTTGAATATTTTATACATTTTCATTTATAACGTGTATTATATACATTATTGATTACACATTTAAATTAACCATAAATATATAAGTATTGGCAATCTACTTAGTACAATGTATCATTTAACATAATAATAATTGTACGATGATAATCATTCTAAATATTAAGAAACATTAATTTGATAATATTATAAATAATATAAATACTAATAATTATTTAATAATATGTACTTTGATTAGTTCTATTCAATGAATAAGTAAGGTTAGGTCTCTTACAGTATATGTATCAGAATATTGTAAATGTATATAAATAGGGTTCCTACCGCATGAAGGGCATCTAATTACATGATAATACCTCCTACGTTTCGCACAAGAATCATGCAACGGATGATTTACGAGAAAACGGATCGACGATACGTATATCACACTTACGTGCGAATTTTATAAATAGCAACATTCACGCGATCTTGCACCAGTCCGACGTTAATCAGGATACTGATGCAAATTATTATAAATCGATCGTTAATCCTCGTTCGCAACGAGCCTCCTGTCCAGATCATTTTACAAGTGGCAGAGATTGCGCTGAAAGAACGGCAGAGATGGTTCTATAGCGTAAAAACGATTGCTGATCTTGATCCAAATGATAGATGAACGTCTTCGTTCGAATCGTTGGATGAAGCATCCTCCAGTTGCTTTCGATTTCAAAATTACGACGCGAGGAAAACGAATTCACAAATATTTCGCTTCGACGTGTATCACGCTGTCATAGTATTGCAAATGCTATTCAGCTGTCTTCTTAAGTTTGCTTCTCTGTGAAACTGGTTTCTAGGTGGTTTGTTTAGAAGCAGTTTCGTGAGAACTGTTAACCTCTTCAGGGACAAATTTATTGAGATCAGGAACAGACGATTATAATTTTATTTTTGCGTAAAAAGAAATATTATTCTTCATATTTCATCGTATATTAATAACACATACTCCAGCAAAGTTATCAGGCAAAAAGGACATTCTATCAAGTATTAATTTCATCAAATTATCTATCTGACAACTATAGAAACTTCTGCAACACCACTGTACAAAATTCTCGCTGTAACCTTACATAAGAAGCTACATCCGATGGAGACCAAGCGTATCAAATTTTCTCCCGAGCTGAATGCTTGACTGTGAAAAGAAAGTCCCTTCGTGAGGGCACAATTAACGGGCGAGGCTCATAAATTTCCTTTCCAAGAAAGGTCGGCCCGACGAGAGCACGCATCTTTCATAGGGCTGGACGTGACAGGATCGATGTAGGATTCCAGGCTGTATAGCGACAAAAACAAATCGCGTTGGCGACTTCCGAGATCGCCGTTCGATTGCCCCCGCTAGGCGGTCGGTGTCGATGATTATAAACAAA